AGTCCTTCTTTAAAAAAAAAACAAAACAAAAAACAAAAAAACCGAACCTGTGTAAAATCCTGTATCATTTATGAAATATGTATAAAAGAGCAATGTACTTCTGGAACAATAAATAACTATTCAATTTTTGAACGGGTACTCTTGAATAATGTTATTTTCCCCAGCTGAGAAGAGAATATTGCCTGTGTGGCAGCTCTCTGCTGAGTTTCCTCCATTTCTTTTTGTTTAGGTTGTTTCTTCCTGCCCTTACCTCTCTGAGGCCGTGGTGAACAGAGCAGAGCTTTGCTGAAGGAGCTCGGATGGAGATCCTGCTGCCATGCCTGGCTGCCTAACACAGGGATCTCGGGAGCACCTGAGGTGCTCAGGTGGAGGTAGAGACACTTGGTCTGACAAAGATGTGCCTTTGTTTGGCCAACACAGTAGCAGGATAAGAATATACACCCCAACTACCTAAAAAGTGTCAACCCAGTGATGTCAGTGTTTCTGTGTTTCATTCAAGTGCTGTTTCAGAGGAAAGTTGCTGAAGTTTTAAGCTTCTGTTCCTTTCTGGGCCCTTGAATGGTCTGATTTGTCATGGTGGCATATGATTTGTTCATTAACTTTGGGAATCAGCAAACTGTACTCTGTCCTAACTTTGTGGTGTTGGGATGAGGTGTTTGGTGCAGGTTTCTATCGTGTCCATCAACTGTTTCAAAAACTGGCCAATCATGGGTATTATATTTTTTGAAAGATCCACCTCTTGTTTTTTAAAGCTGGAGGAGAAGGACTGGAAGCTGTTAGTTGTCACCTCCCTTTAATCACAGCTGACAAACCTTCTTCCTCCAAGCAGCCCTTAGTCCACTGCTGTGTCCAGATGAACTGCTACCATGCTTATATAAATTGCTTGGCTCAGTTGCATAAAAGGTCACCCATTTTGGCATCCAGAAGAACAGGAGACTCATGACATCTGGCACCACAATCTCTAGTTTGAAAGCAAGAAGATACTGTGACAAAATTGTTCCTGCACATGTTTTAATGTTGTTATAGAGACAATGTAGGAGAAGGAAGGAAGACGAGTCTGCAGTTGTTCCCTGAAATCCAGGCTGTCCAGCGGGTCTTGTTAGTCCATATTCCTGCAGATTTTGCTGTCCCAGTGCACTGTGGTCTCTGCCAGGTGTGGATGACATGCCATAAGCCTCACACTCCCATCTCAGTGCCTTGGAATGCCAGCACTGAAGGGGAGGGCAATGTTTATTTGCTCTCCTGATCCACACTGTTAAATCTCCACAGGAACACTCTCTCTTGCAGCAGCTATTGCCCATCTTGGAGCCAGGCAGGTGACAGGGTCCTGCCCAGTGCTGCCTGAATCTTAATGTCCCACTGCATTCTTCAGCCCCTGTGAGGGATGAGCAGCAGTGTGCATTGCAGTGTTCAGGTGCTGCTGCTTCTACCAGCTTTGTTACTCTTTTGATGAACCTCTTTTGTGAGGGGGACTTTCAAATATATGGCTGGTTTAAAGTTGCCTGGAGAGCTGTACTAGGTTTCCTTTGCTGTGCCTGTGAGGCTCTACATTCCAAGGCCCTCCAGGGAAAGGTGTTCATGGCTCCTTTTTCCTGAAGAGAAAAGAAGAAACTCCTTCTCTTTTGCCCTCTATCCCTTCCTGCCTGGCAGGCAACCACCTTGCTGCAAGTTCCTACACTTCCATGTTGGCTCTAGAAGGGTTTTGCATGATGCTCTGGAGCTGCTCTTGGCTGTCAGACCTTGGCACTGTGCCACTCGAGTGGAGCTGGCCAAGTTGCCCTTTCTTTGAGCCAGCAGACCAATTTCTTTGGTACCTTCTGAGGTTTTCTTGTGAGTGGAGCTGTAAATGCTAGCTGCTTTCCTCTGTGACACATTGTATGGCTTTATTTTCACACAGGGAAGGAGATTTTTGAATCTTAACTGTCCCAAGAGATTCTAATTATTTCCTTTAAAAAAAAATCAGATTTACTTGTATAATGACGTAAAAGGGATGAAAAGTAAAATACAGGAATGGAAATTAGACTTGAAGTATACCTGAGCCCTGAAGTATGGGAGAAGCTGGTTTTAGGATGTGGCTCTGTGAGCTTGTACGCCCTAATTTCTCCATCTGAAAATTGAGGATCATGGAAAATACACCGGGTTCTGTAGGACCTGTGGAAAAACACTCCCAAAACAGCAAGCTCTGCATCACAGGTCTCCACCAAGGGAGAGGAAATAACTGCTGCTCTTCACTAGGGGTGTTGTACTTGCCTGATTTTAATGGGCCCTTGATGTTTTACTTGAGTTCACACTTGTTCTTCCTTAGGCTCGTGTTTGCTCCCTGATCTCCCCAGCCCTTCCCATTGGCACTGTGTCCTGGGACACGTTGTTTACAGCACCAGGGCCTATCTCAGAGTCCTTGACTTTGGTGCAATCCATCTCAGCAGCCTGTCAGGGCTCGCTGTGACCCTGCACCCTCAGATCCTGCCGCTGTGCTGGGTTCTGCTCTCCCTGGGCGGCAGGAAGTGCTGATTAGCTCTTCCTCCTGCTCCTCTGGGCAGTCCCTGCACCCAGAGCTGGGCTTCAGCACCTCCCCTTCGCCGGGCACTGCGGTGCCTTGAGTGGTGTTTCTGGCAAAACCTCCTCAGTCAGCAGTCCCTTACAAACAGTACAAGGCTTTCTAGCCCAGCCAGTGCTTTGAGGAACCTGAGTTCCTTGTGTGAGGATGGTAAAGCCCTCCAGATGTCTGGGAGGGGCAGGAAGGGTGCTTTCTCACGTTAAGAGCAGACATACCCAAGCTTTGCAGCAGGTTTAGAACTTTTGCATACCAAAACAAAATTGCAGCCCTCGGTTTTAGTACTGCCTCCCCCCTTCACATCTTTTAAACAGTACTGATGACTACTTTTAAGAAGTACTAACTAGATCCTGATTCTTTTTGGGAAGTTGGACTCATTCATCCTTGGAGTGTGGAAGTGGAGGTCAGGAACAACGGATTTGCCTGGAGACTGCAGGCCCTAGAGCACCCCATTGGAATTATGTCCTCTCTCCCAGAGCATCTCCCTGCAAGAAGGATTTTGCTTGGGTTTTTTCTCCCTTTCTGCTTTCAGAAATGACTAACACAGCTCCCTGAGGCACAGATTATGTGATCCAATTCAGGCTACTATTGTTTGTGGAGCAATGTTTGTCACCCAAATTAATTTACAAAGCAAAGAGAAAGTGCTGATAGAGGGGTTGCCTCTGGTGCTTCTTCCAGTGTTTAGAGGCAGCACACAACCTTCTCCAGCTTGAGACCCTTTCTTTGAACTAGATGTTGTGGTGATTGGGGATAGTGCCATCTCTGGGAATGCTTGGGCATCTCCTGCTTTAATCTATTTTGGAGAACTTGGTAGGACCTGTTGGCGACCCCTTTGAGGCTCAGAATTGCAATGCTGCACTTGGTTTCCCTGTGTTAATTGTCAGCTGTCAGTCACTTACCTGTACCTGTTAAAGCACGATTGTGACAGGCTCATGTAGCACCTCCAAAACAAAAGCAGCTGGGAAATGAGATGGTTCAGAGAACTGTACACTCCTGTGGCACCAACAGAACATTCCATCCACGCTTGTCAGTTTTATTTACCCAGGATCATAAGTAGAAATCAACCTCTCCACGAAAATGGCAAAATATAAATCCCTGTGTCTTGTTGCAGTACTCTCTGTTCAATTTTAGTTTCTCTTCTGGGAATTCACACAAGCACTGTTTAAGGGTTATCTACCTTGATAGCTTTGTGTAATGAATCTGTTCTCTTTTCCTGTTGTTGGAAAACCTTTTCTAGTACTGCACAACTGTCAGCACAATAGAGCCACAAGGATTTTTTTATTTATTTTGGTGGGAGCAATGTCTGTAACTTATTTGGGGTTTTTTGTCGTTCCTCAGAGTCATTCACCACTGATAAAGGACTCCTGTGCTGGGTGGAGCAGAGGAGCAAATTGCACTTTGCTGCCAGGGACACATCCAGGCAGGGAAAGGCCATTGAGAACGTTCTGTAGTGTGCAATCCCTGTGAAGCAAACACCCAGCTCCTTGTCTTGTGCAAACTCAATGGGAAAATAACGGAGCTGCTTTTTTCCTGCTGGGATTTCGAGCTGGCTCGTCAACCTTGATGTCATTCCTTACTCCAGCCTGCTGCAGAAATGCAGGATGGGAAGGGAATGGGGAAATGCATCCCTTGCTTGACTGTGGGCTTAGCTGCACTCATTGCTGATGGAGATCTCTTATAGCAAGAGCTGATGGGAGGAGAGGGAAGATCCCTTTCCGCATATTCACGTTGTCCTTGGTATCCCACTGCCAGCCGTGGTGCTGGGTTTGCTTTAGCAGAGAACAGATTTCAGGGTGCTGCATCCAGAGCTTGTGGTTATCACCTGCAGCTCAACCTAGTTTGGTTTGAACCAGTAAGGAGAGGCTCTCAATTACTTGGGTTTGCGTGGAACTTAATTCCTTAATGATGGATTTTTTGATTGTTGGTTTGGTTTTGTTTTTTAAAGATGAGGAGATTGTAAGACTGCTGCAGAAAAGGGTCTCTACTTGCCTTGTTCGATAACCTTGCTGCAATCAGGCTGTGTGACCAGGAGTGAAAAGGGAGCCTCAGAACAGCTTTATTTCCCTGTGGGACACCAATCTTTCACTTTGACTGATGTTCCCATTGTAGCTCTGCTCCAGGGGCTCCTCTGCAATCTCTGCTCGGAAGGATCAGTCTCCTCCTTTGGCCACCATTTCCTGCAGTTAAGGCTCTCTGGCCAGTGTTTTCTGCCTGGGGGAGCCATGGAGTCGTAGGACTTGTGGAAGGAGCAGAGATAACAAGCACCCATCTGTTCTTCTCTTCCATGCCTTCGGGATGTCCGGGTGTCCCTGGTTAGAACTCCTCTCCGGATGAGATAGTGGAGGTGTCACTGTGGGGCAGTCAGGGCAGAAAACAATAGCAGGTCGAGTCCAAAAAACAACATTGACCAGTGAATACATCTCTGCTGTCAGTCAGGGGCAGAGCTGCTCTGGGGAGGTCAAGGCTGGAGCTGTACCCCACATCCCCTCGGCTTCTTCCTCTGATAAACTTCCAGGAGAGCGACCACACTTGCTCTTCTGGAACCTTGGAGTCGGGAGCTCCACTGGGAGGAAGGCTGCAAGAGCCACAGCGTGTGTGAGGGCTTTCAAACCTCTGTTCCTTGAGCAGTGACTGCTCCTTGGCTGAGGGGGATGTTCCAGTACTCGTTTTTCTGCATCTGCTTTGTCATCCAGCTCCAGCCAGTGTCTTTGATGGGTGAGTAAAGAGGCATTGCCTTATTTCTGTTTGCCATCTGTAAAGGTTCATGCTGAGCCTTGGTATTCTTAAGTGAAAGGCTGGAAGATGGGAGAAATATTCTTTTCCTTTGAAGATGATGTAAAACTCTTTCCAGTTGGAAAGATCTTTCTGTCACAGAGCGTGAAGTCTCCGGTACTGGGAGAACCTCTCCTGCCAAGGCACTGAGGGATTTTCCTCTCCCTTTGGAGGACAGGCTCTGTGAATAGCCATTATGCTACCTTTTCACCTGCTTCTTTGACAAATCTGAACTGAATTTAGTGTCATAATGCAGTGCTGCTCACTCCGTTGCTTAGTTGTGCTGGAGCAGAGACCTCCAGTTACACAATCCACACAGGGTTAATCTCTGCAGAATGGTGGGCTCACAAATGCTTGCTGGAGCCTGATTTATCACCCACTATATATGATCCCATGTCAGCTAGAGAACTGATGATATCATCGAGATTACAAATGGAGAAGCTTTGCTTCATAGCTAATGCTTGTCAGGCTGAACTGCTCAGGCCACGCACGGAGTGTTGGGGAGGAAAAAGAATTGAGCCAAGAAAAATGAAAAATGGAGGGAGCTGGAGACAGTGATATGTCTTGTGCAAACCCCCCAGCTTTCGTTGGTTGGGGAGAGGAGACGAGAGGCTGATCAGTTTTTTTTCCTAAAAACTCCAATCAGTTTTCAGTACACTGTGCTGCCAAGGGCTGCTGGTGTCTGCAGGGAGGTTGGCGTGGGGCAGCACTGGCACTCCCAGGGTGGCCGTGAGCATCTGCAGTGTTCCAAAGAGCACTGTCTGCTTATTCTGCTTGTTTGCCTCCCCCTCACTCCTGCCAGAAGCTCTCAGAGGAATGAAGGATGTGAGGAAAGGCTACCTCAGTTCCCCCGATGTGCCTTCTTGCCAGCTCCCTTTGAGCTGCTGCATCTTCATCTCAGTAAATTTTGTCTTTAAATTATCTTCTGAATGTTTAGGACTCAACGTGCTCTCCCTAGATGAGTGTTTCCAGAGGCTGTCCACAGAGGATATTTCATAAAGTTAATTGCATGAAAGCTAATGAGGCTGTGTGTATTTTTAGTGCTGCCCAGTTGGGAAGCTGACAGGGCATTCCCACTTCACCTCATTTGGCTTTGAACAGCATGAAAACCTTTTCATCTTAGTCAGTGACTCACCCTAAGGCCACACCAAATCCTCTGGTGGAAAACCAAGGGAGTTACATCGAGGGAAGCCCAGGGGAAGCTCTGTTTGGGACACATCTTTTCCTTTTGGGAAAAGTCAAGCAAGCTTTTGGAGGATGGGATTTCCAGCGCTGCTGTTGTCTGTGGGTAAGGGCAGGCAAGGAGAGGTGGGTGAAATGGAGAACTCCTGAGGGATCTCCTCAGAGATTCCCTCCTGCCTTCCCCTCTCTGCTGCTCAGGAGAGCTGGGCTGGTTGTGGTGGCAGTGAATCAGCTCCTCTGCCTGTTTTTGAACTGTGAGATTCCCTTCCTAACCCAGATCTGTGCTCTGCTCTGCAGCACTCCTGACTGTGGCAGCTGCTCCTGCATTTTATGCTGGATTTGAGGCCAGACAAGGTGTGTCTGTGGCTGAGGAAGGTGCAAGGGTGCTCATCAAGAGAGATGCTGTATTTATGAGATACTTGTACAACATTCCATGTCTGTGGGACAGATATTTACAGAGGGCACAGCTAAATAAGGGTGACTTGAAGTCCATTCTCTGAAGCACTTTAAAGTTTCCACTTTAAAATCAGTGGAGCAAATCAAAATAATGAACCAGGAAGGTTTGTGTCCAGAAATTCTAATAGAAATAGTATAATGTTCCTCCCCCCACCCAAATTGCATCACCCTATTGTTAAACAAAACAAAACAGCACAGTTTTAGAACTTAAAAGGAAATGTGCTGTGGGAAGGAGAGGCTGTTCCATTCTGAGATGCATTTAATCAGAATGATTGGTTGTATTAGCCTAATTTTAGGAAATAATAATCAATTTTCCTTACTCAGGACAGGATTAGCATTCATTTTGCTTAATGGGGAATAGTCTGTCATGGATAAGTAGTGCTTAATCAGATATTAAATGTAAGGGAAGATGGAACCTCTGGACTTTCAGTGAGGAAGCTGCCAAATCAGGGTTAATTAGAAGACTGAAAATGTAATGAACACTTCAAGTCTTTATTTCTGTTCTCCCTATGGAACTCTTATGTTTTAAGTGTTTGCAGAAGGTTCAGAAAGGCCTCTGAAAAGGGACACGCTCCTTGAGGACTGCATGATCAGACAGGGTTTGTGGCCCTGGGAGCAACACAACTGTGTCAAAAGTTGAACATTTTGCTCTCCAGAAGGTCCTGATTCAGACCTTCATGCCCTCTAGATTTTAAGATAATAAATAACAGTTGAGTTGACAACTCAACTGTGAGGGCTGACACCAGCTGTGGGTGGGTTTTAAAAGAGACTGCATAACTTGTTTGAAGTATATTCCTTTGCTCCAAGGCATCTGGGAGAGTTACCAGTGACTTCAGGAGGGGCTTGCAGGTTCTCAGTTAGGACTTGAACAAAGGCTGGATATCCTAGACTAGATCCAGTGCTCCCAGGTTGTATTTCCCTTGGCAAAATCACTACCTGGCCCCCAGATTTGCTCATATCTTTTTTTTTTTTTTTTCCCCTGTCAGCAAAGCAGCAAGTCAGACTGTTGCATAACGTTGTAAGAGTTCTGTTGAGGTCTTGGAAGAACAAGTAAATTTAAGCTGAGCTGTCAGAATTTTCCCCAAGACAGTCAGCTTGCTGGTATGGCCATGTCTCCCTGGGGATCTCTATCACGGTGATTCTGTTAAGTCAGGGACAGAAAGGGAAATTATTTTGCATTGTTTACGATTCTCAGTCAGTTTGATATCTACCAGCTGTTCTCTTTTGCTGCCTGCCCCAGCCCTGGACCCCTGCTCTGCCTACATCAGCCTCAACGAGCCCTGGAGGAACACGGATCACCACATCAACGGCTCCCAGGGGCAGCCGACGTGCGACAGCCAGATCGACGGCGAGTGGTACCGCTTCACGGGCATGGCGGGCGACGCCATGCCCACCTTCTGCATCCCCGAGAACCACTGCGGCACCCACGCTCCCGTCTGGATGAACGGCAGCCACCCGCGGGAGCAGGACGGCGTCGTCCAGCGCCAGGCCTGCGCCAGCTTCAACGGGAACTGCTGCCTCTGGAACACCACCATCGACGTCAAGGCCTGCCCGGGCGGCTACTACGTGTACCACCTCTCCAAGCCCAGCGTGTGCTTCCACGCCTACTGCGGCCGTAAGTGGCTCCCTTTTCCAAGCCCCCTTCGTTCCCGGTGCCTGCCTTCGGGCTTTGCCACCCGCCAGGTGCGGGTGGTGGCCTGTCCATGTGGGATCCGTGAGGCAGTTCCACCCGCTGCCTTCCGCCGGCGGGAATTTTCCGTGGCTGACCCGGCCCGCGGTGATTTGGTGCTCTCTGGGGGCACCGTGGTTTGTCTTGGCTCGCTGCCAAAGTCAAAATTTGCATCTCTGACGTGCAGTAATTAAAGCAGATTGTTTCTTAGCAGCTTCAGCGCTTCGTCTTTCCCAACGTGGACCAGGTCTGGAACTGCTGGGCTGCTCCCAGGGCAGGGAGCTGATGGGACAAATGTGGTTATTTTTGTTGCATGCTCAGCACTTTGAGCTGACAGTGTTCTTGTCATGCCCTAGATTTTTATGACATCTGTGATGTGGTGGATTGCCAGGGCCCCTGCCTGGACACCAGTGACTGCACCTGTTCCCCGGGGACAACACTAGGACCTGATGGACAGACATGCCTTGGTAAGGGTGGGAATAACCTGTGCCAGCTACCAATGCTTTCTTTCCCTTTGTTTCATCGCTCACTTCTCGACCCATTGCCTTGCAAAGCAGTGCAAAACATGAAGTATTCTAAGAGGAGTTTCCTCCCTTGCTGCCTAGAATAGGTTTATGATTCTGTCAGTGATTCCAAGAGACATCCCACAACTGAATCCATTCTGGTGACCCTGGAGCTCTGTGTGTACAGAGACTAGATTTGCTTTCTGAAGGCAACAGCTGCACTGCCAGTAGCAGAGTTTCTTTGCAAGATCGTGGTACAGTCTCCCTGTGGTATTCAGAAAATGCTGTGCAGCCTGTCATTAGATGCTCTGTTGAATGCCTCTTTCCTCCCAAAAAAAAGTTTTGCTGGCTGGTGTAAGGCTGCACACTAAGCTCCACCATATTCCTGCCCTTTTGGGACACTGTCCGTGGCCTGGGCCTTAAGGAGAGCCAAAGGACAGTAAGTCCCATCACAGCTGCAGTGGTTTTAGGCAGCATGACAGGGGGGCGTTCAGGGGGTTGGCATTTGGTGACAGAGACTGGCACAGCCAGAGGGAGGTGGAGGGCTGTGAGAGCAGAGTGGGGAAGGTGGGCTTTGGGGATTTGGAAGGGAATCCTCCTGGACCTCTGAGGAGAGGATGGCTGTGGTTGTGTGTGTGGTGCTGGGAGGAGAGCACCTGGACTGGGAGGTCAGGGAGAAGATGATCTGTGGGGGAAAGCAAGGGGCTGGGAAGGGGTGGCCCTTGGGGAGCTGCAGAACCACGCTGGTGGATAAGAAGAGGCGAGCTGGAGGGAGGAGGAAGGGGTGCCAGTGTATGGGGGAGGTGGGATCTCGTCTGTGTCTCTGTGGCCTGATTTGGTGGTGAAGCTGAAAGCAGAGTTGGTCCAGAGGCTGTGTGGCAGATCAGCCTCTTCCATACCCACTACAGCTGACAAAGCAGGTGTGGGTGGTTTCTTCACACCCCTCGTGTCTGTGGGCATCGGGGTAGGGGCCACAGTCATCCCAGTCTGTGGAGAGAGCAGCCTGGCCCTGCTGCAGAGTTACTCTGGCTCACACTGATTCTGTGGAAGGGTTTTGCTTAAGCAGCTCTACATCTCTGCAGCCAAGTGGCTGACTTAGCTCTCTCAGGTAATTAAAAGCATTTATTGGCTGCTTCTGTTCAAGATTTCCAGTCACAGAAGTACCCTTGACAAGCACCAGCACTCAATAAAAGTGTGGCAAGCTCAGAGGAAAGGAGGGGAGCCTCCTCAGCAGGGAGGCTCGCAGGAACCTGAGCCTGTCTGTGTGTGCTGCAGCTGCCTTCACCCCTCCATGGCCAGGCTGGGCAGGATTTCTGCACTGCTGCTTCTCCCTGGGATTCCCAGATGGCACAACAGCTCAGCTGGAATGATCACACTGGGTCACCAGCCTGCAGCCTTTCTTGTGTGGCTCACTCATCTCTCTAATGACTTTCTGTTGCACTGAGTAATTGTGCAATCACATCTCTCAGAGCAGCTGTGCCAGCCTTCCAGAGAAACTAAATAAATCCCTATTAGCCTTTCCTAAATGGAGAATATGCTTCTTTTCCCAGCTCCTCCTAAAAAGGGGGGCTGATGATGCTGCAGTAATGCAGCAGGGAGGCTGTGGCTGCCCCATCAAGGGCCAGGTTGGACGGGGCTTGGAGCAACTGGGCTAGGGGAAGGTGTCCCTGCCCATGGCAGGGTGCAATGAGATGGGCTTTAAGGACCCTTCCAACCCAAACCATTCCATGAATGTTAAACAGCTCTGTGCACCTCCCTGTGCTTCTCAGTACATTACATGCTTTGAATCCCAGAGTAGAACTGCTGATCCTCAGTTACATTTTCATTTGCAAGCTCAGTGGTTAGGTAAGGTCTTGGACTTCCCATCACACATCCACCAACTCAGCACATTGCCTTTGACCTTGTGAATACTTGGATCCATGTCCTACTAAGCCATGGATAAAATCAGCTCAGTGCTCTCCCAGTCCAGTCTTGAGACAACCAGAAGTATCCCAGAAGTGCTGGTTGTCACTGGTGTGGAAGAGCAGGGACAGATCTGTGTGTTGTAGAACCTGAGGGACAGGCAAGGGGGATTGCTGGGTACAGCCCTTGACCATGACAAGCTCTAGGCCCTTCTAAGAGCATCTCCGTGCCTTTGCCAGTTAGCCCTTTCCCTCTTCACCTTCTGTTTTTAAGCAGCTTTAGTTTTATTTTTAGAAGGGAAAGTGTGGAGCCTGTCACATGTGTGAAAAGCAGAGTGTCTGTGTGTCTCCTGGACATGCTTCCTGCCTCCCAAAGCAGGGTAGCAGCCAATTCTTTGGCTAAAAATATTCAATTCACGTCGCTTGTGGAAGGAGACACCAGGACCAGCTGCAAGCTGTGGGCACTGTGAGTGTGTGGGACCACTGATACCTAAGAAAGCACCTCTCTGACCTGTCTCTTAAAATGATATCTTGCTTTTTTTTCTTAATTTAAGCTTCTGACATCTAGTAAATGCCAGCCTCTAAGCTGTTTTGATAGAACCTTGATTGATAACCTCAGCGTGCTGGCCTGCCTAAGAGAAATTGTTAGTTTTGTGGCTCAACAATAGCAATGTCTGCCCCTTCCTCTGTTTTGCTTTTTGCACGCAGAGATGAAATCAGGTTGAAGAACGAGAATCTCAGAGAAAAAGTACCTTTCAAAAAAAAAGTAAAGCAGACAGACACAGAGAAAGTTTAGCCTTTCAAACAGGATTAGCAGGAGTTTCAGAGCTTTACCAAGAGATTCAAAAGCCGCTGTCAGAGAGATTACTCATTATATTCCAGAGTTCAGGAAGTGTTTGGACAGCGCTCTCAGGGCACATGGTTGGGTTGTTGGGGTGTCCTGTGCAGGGCCTGGAGTTGGACTCGATGATCCTTGTGGGTCCCTTCCCATACAGGATGTCCTGTGATATGATCTCTGCTGCCCTGATCCCGTTCAGGAGGCCAGGAGAGCCAGTCTGAGCAGTACCAGCTGTGTGTTTACTGAGGGCACGTTCTGACAGTGGTTTGGGGTGGTTTTTTTCAGATGAAAATGAGTGTGAGCAGAACAACGGAGGCTGCAGTGAGTTCTGTGTGAACCTGAAGAACTCCTACCGCTGCGAGTGCGGGGTCGGGCGCACGCTGGGCAGCGACGGCAGAACCTGTGAAGGTGAGGCTGCAGCTGCCACAGGGACAGCAGGAATCATTCCCTCTCCCTTGCAGCACTGCTTCTCTCCTGGCTCCTTGCAGCTGGGATTAAATGTCACTCATATCACCTCTGTGCTTGCCAGTGGGGTTGTTCCTAAAATATCCTTCTAAGCAAGCAGAGAGAAGTCTCCTTGTTGTTCTCCCTGCCTCATTCACCTGTGTTAGGATTTTCTTGTGTTTACCTCCATGGGGGAAAGGCAGCAGTGAATCTGGAAGACTGGTTGTCCACACGGAACTGGTTATTGCTGGAGTTGCTGGGATTTGGCTCTGGAGATTTGGGGGGGAACAGATTTAGCATTGCTGGGTTTTGGCAGCTGACCCTAGGTATGGGTCAGTCATAACATTAGACTAGAGCATGAGGATCACTTTAGCCTCCTGGGGCAGAGACTGAGGAGAGGGGTGCCAGTGTGTGAACAGAAGTTAGATTTGAGATTTGGGCTGCATTTTGGCTGTTTGGTGTCTGTGAGTGGTTAGCTGTGGGCTCATCTGCTTCCCAGGGGTGGCACAGCCAGGCTGAAAACCCTTGATGAGTTTAGACTGGTGGCTTAAAGACCAAATGGTAGGTTTGATCTGTTGTCACTAACAGTATACAGACATCTCTGGGGCAGAAATAGGCAAACCCAGCAAAAATAGACTTGTGCCTGATGTTTTCTGTGGTGAGCTGTGAAGAGCTCTGTACCCCCTCCAAAGCAAAGCTGCTGTGTGGGGTGTTCACAGATACTGTGGGGCCTCAGACAAGAAAAACAGCTGCAGATGTGCCTCACTTTTCAGCTGCCCAGAAGAGCTCAATCTGCTCCCTGAGCTGTGTTAGCAAAACATCACTCATGCAGGCAGTGACACTGCCCTGGGAATGCTGTGCAGAGTGCTCCTGAAGTCCTTGTCACCTCATGTGGGGCCAAAAATGGTCTGTGAGCTTTGTCCCTTCCACATCCAGCTCTGAGCTGGTAGGAGGTCACGTAAACCAACTGTGCAGTTTTTATTCCTGACACTCTTCTGACGGGGCTGGAATAGTCTGTCTGGAAACTTGTTTGTGCTGTTCCCAATGTTGGCTTTTAGGGCCTTTGATATATCATTTAATTTCCCCTTCTGTAAGAAGGATGGTGCTTTTCACAAGTTTAACACTGCTGCTGGAGATTTTTACAGTCTTGTTAGTGAGTTTTATTTCTAAAGATGTACCCTCAGCTTTGTGAGCCCTTAGAGGATGTGATTTACTTGTGAGCCACCTTACAGCTGTGGCTAAAAAGAACAAATGCAAGAGATTTAGTTTGATTACATGAGCTGCTGAGGCTGAGTAGGGTTAAAAGTATCATATTCCATTAGGATGCCATACCCATTACTTTGACTCATATGGAGTGCTCAGGCTCTTGTTTTCCATGCACTGTATAGGGGTCAGTATGGGATTTCTATTCTTTTCTTTACATTTCAGTGAAAACCACACAGTCATTTCTGATGGCAGTCTTGAAGAAAAATATTTTGTATTTATGATTTGTTTATCTCATGTACTATTGTTTCAGTGAGAACAGTAGTACTCATCTAGCATACTCATCCCAAAGGGTTAAAAAAAATCAAACAGTGAAGATTATTTCCAAAAAAATCATGACCCTGTTATTTTTTTTATAATAGGAAGCCAACAAGAGCTGGAAATGGCCTTATTTTCCTTAGGTTTTCAAATGTTCAGAATGTATCTGGATGACCTTTCTGGCTCTTTTCTGTAGCTGTAGTAGCCAGGAATATGTTTTACACAAAACTCAGGTCCTCAGAGAGTTGCCTCACCTGAATGGATAAGATGTAAGACATGACACATCCTCCAATTAGCTGTGCTGCCCTCTCTCCTCTGCTCTTGACAATGGGGGAAAATTAGGAAGGGAATGAACTTTACACTGTGAACTCGTGTCATTCTGTCCCTGAGCCAACCTCAAAGCCTTAGAACTCCCAAACCAGCAAAATTCCTGCTAAAGAAACTCCTATGAGCAGAGTTTCATCCTCACCCTACGGAGAGGTTGAAGGAATCTGGTACAGCCACCCCCCTCACAGCTGGGAAACCCAGGGGGAATGAGCACATCATCTTTTCTCTGGTGTTCCCTGCTGGAAATAGGAGCTGGCTCCCTGCAGGGCTGTCCTCCCCAGGGCAGCTCCCCTGCAAAGCTCAGGGCTGTCATTCTGCTGGTGATGAAGGGAGGGAGTGAGGTAGAACTTTTAAGAGGATTTTCCTCCCACCTTTTTGAAGTAAGAAACAACATAAAAATTTAGTTTAAGAGGATGTCTCAGGAGAGACAAACAACAAGGGCATGTAGTGACAGGACGAGGGGGAATGGTTTTAAACTGACAGAGGGCAGGTTTAGATGGGATATTGGGAAGAAATTCTTCCCTGTGAGGGCCTGGCACAGGTTGTCCTGAGAAGTCGTAACTACTCCATCCCTGGAAGTGTCCAAGGCCAGGCTGGATGGAGCTTGGAGCAACCTGGGATAGTGGAAGGTGTGGAACAAAATGGTCTTTAAGGTCCCTTCTTACCGAAGCCATTCTATGATCTTTGAAGGGCCAAGGTGCAGATTGCCTACTCAGTGGGATTTAATTTGGGAAGCTTTTTCACAGAATTCCATGTTAACCTCATGGGAAAATGACAAAGACAGGAAACTGTACAATTAAAAAGAGGGTTTCCACTGCATTTTCTTGGAAGCAAGCTCTGCCCATGCTGCTGCCTTGGAGCTGTGTTGGCCACAGTCTCTGTTGGTCAGGGGTACGTTGGGGCCCTCAGGGTGTGCTGATTTTCCTTTCTCTCCCAGAAATCGAAGGCTGTCACAACAACAACGGAGGCTGCAGCCATACCTGTATTGAAGTGGAAGACACCTACCAGTGTGAATGTCCAAGGGGGCTTGTTCTATCAGAAGACAACCACACTTGCCAAGGTAGGTCAACAAAATCTCCCCAGCAGCCTCTGTCCCCCAGAAGTATGTCTGAAGGAACTTTTCTTCTTGGTTTTGTTGTCTTCTCTTAGTCTGTCCTTTCCAGTTTGATTAGTGGAGCTTTGTCATTAATGACAGATCATCCAGAACTGAGAGCCTGAAGGCATTGCTCTTTTAACCAGGCAGGAGAACAGCCACAGGGCCCTCCTGGGTGCCTCTTGCATCACAGGTGGTTTTGGCAGAGTTCACTTACAATTAAGATTGCATAATATCTCCTGTTGTACTGCTCTGCTTCAGCTCTGTGTGCCTCTGACAAACTGGTGCTGTAGAACTGACATTTTCCATGCTTCAGACTTGAAAATTTCAGCTCAAGTGGTTCAGTCACTTCCAACAATGGGGTTAAAAAGAGAGGCATGTTTTCTCCAAGTATCTCAGCAGCCATTCCAGTGAGCATTCCTATGCCTTGAAGCAGGGCACTAGCTTTGATACAGGGTGTTCCTGCTGTCCCTTGGAAAAGTGCCTGGGATACATCCTTGCATAGAGGCAAGGACAGCATTATCCTTGGAAAACCTTCCACGTGAACTTTGCACAGGGAGCCTTCCTGCTGACTCACTTGCACCTATGGCATGCACATGGAATGAACAGGTTCCATGTTTTGGGATGAGATTTCCTTTACAAATACATCCCAAGCTACCAGCAGTCTGGTGTCTCCTGGTGTGCCCAGAGAACCTCTTGCAGTCTGATGTGTCACAGAGTGCCCAGACACCAGCTGGAGGGACAGATCCAGACTTCACAGGGGCCAACAGGGCAGGTGTGTCTCAGAGAGGAACTTGGAATGGTCCTGCTTGATGGAATTTCTGCTTTTTTTGAAGCCTTTCAGAAGTGCAGGGCTCCCAAGGCTGAGCACTGCACACTTGGGATCCCACAGTGCTGCTGGGGGAGGTGGAGGTGGCATTTCCAAGAGCTGTGACTACACTCACTGATTGAAGGTCTGATGGATGGATACAGAGCAATGATTTTCAGTCCTGGCTCTCTGAGGCAACTCCAGCAGGGTTGGGAGCCCTGGATTTCCCAGCCAATGTTTCTCCTGCTTGTGAGGCTGCATACTGAGAGCAGCAGCACTGCCGGGGCCGGGCAGGGCTGGGGATGCAGCATCTCACGGAGTGGAATTGCTTGTTCCTCTCCATGTCATGGATTTATGTTCCTGTGCACTGGTCTGCAGTTCTGAGCAGATATGGAGCTGTACCACACAGATTTTTATGAGATCTAATCAGGTTTATATTAGTTCAATTAGCAGGGCAGGCACAGTTGCCTGAAGCAATTGGCTGTGCAGCCTCTCCACCCTCCTCTGCACTGTCTCTACGTTCAGAACAAACATTAATAATCTTCCACAGAAACCACAGTCTTGACTACAATTTTTCCACAAAGATACCAGCCAGCAAAACACTTGGAATTTTGCAGCCCATCCTAGTACCCCACATCTTTCTGAAGTGCAGGGGGAAATGCTTTTCCTCCCCCCTCCTCTGCCCAAGCTTTTTGTGCCTGTAGGCAGGGTACGACACTGTAATTGGTGTATAGCAGTGGGTCAGGGAATCTGTTCTGCTGGGCAGTCTGTGCAGAAGGATAACCTCTGCTCCAAGCAGCTGCACTTTGGAAGGCTGAGGAAGGAACCAGAGGCTGGAACACAGAGCCAACAACAGCAGGCAGCAAAAATGAGCATTGGGCTCACCAGAGAAGCTTCCTACCAGGGTCAAGTGTTGGTGCAAAGCAGAGTTTAAAGTGGAAATGAGGAGGCTTTCCCAGTACTCACAGGTGATCTGTGGTGTATGAGGGTGAAGAACTGAAATGTTTGACTGGCACAGCCTGGATGAGGCTCTCAGGAGCAGGACATGGATGCTGACAGCAAGTCAGGAGGGTGCAGTGCTGGCATCAGCTCTCTGAACGGATGCCAGAGGTTGGGAATAAAAGTGGGCTCATTGGCATCAGGATAACTCATTTCTGCTGGGCATCTCAGTCCTGGCAGTCGGGACCTCACTGCTTACCCTGGAATAACATGCTGTCTGCACACCTTGTCATCTCCTTTGCAGCTCCCCTGTCCTGGGGGAAGGGGGTCTGCTCAGAGCCAGATCCCGCTGAGGCACCGGCTCTGCTCGCAGCACCACTGACAAATTGGTAGAACTGCTCTCAGCACTGGTTACTATTCCTTGGACAAATGTCTGGGGTGGTTTGAATTGCATTACCAGCTCCTCTGACATGGTCAGTATGAGGAGTTTCCCCCAGTGTTTTCCCAAAGAGCCAAGATTTGTCTTGATTCACCAGTGGATCTGCCTGCAGGTTTCCCTCACTTGTTTCTGTGTGTGGACACAGGTCCTGCAGTGCCAGAGCATGGGGGCAGTGGGGTCTTCTTTCTCCTCCTTTGTACCAATCAAAGACATGCAGAAACAGAGATATCCTTAACCAAACTGGTCCTGAACTTAGGAAAATTGCAGCTGGGGTACGAACTGTCTTGCTCTGAACTTCACCTTTATAAAATAAAAGCATGACATTTTCTTATTTATCAAGGAGTCACTAGGACAGTGAGGCTTTATATCCAGGTTGAGCCCATCAGTTCTCCAAAGGATGTTCCTCTGTGTGCACTGTGCTGTGTTCCAAAGTCTCTTTGTCTCCTCCTGAGCTTTGCCATCCGATGTGCTCCGTTATTCCCACTGCCGGTGGAGGGGAAGTTAAGGTAGTTCTTAGTTCTTAAAGCTTCTGTTCTAACCCAGCAATGTCATTATGGGAGCATATTGCTGTGGGCACTCTGCATACATTTTAGCATTTCACCTTGAAAAGATCAAGTTTTTATTAGAAGTCCTCCCTGCAGGTGTAGAGGCTGTTACAAATACCTTGGCTAGAACAGGAGAATTTTTTTAAGGGGAGTAAAAGGCATGTCTTAGCAGTGTGCCTTGTATTCAAGATCCAGAATCCTAAATTATGTAATTAGTGACCAAAGTTAAGGGAAAGCAGGTCATATGAATGTCAAGGACTGAGACTGTAATTTTGGCAAAAAGCTTGGGCAGCTAGTAGATTTGCAAAAAGTTTTGTCGTGGGATTTTAAAATATAATAAAGGGAAATACTGTAAGGGGATTGTTTTTCTGGCACCAGTACACTTGTCCTGTCTCCCAAGGAATATATATAGCAATTACTTTTTTATTGAAGATTATTCTCTCTTCTTTCCTTTTTCCTTTTGCCCAAGCTGTATGTTTTCTGCCGCTTATGTAATGGAATGGTAATTTAAAAAAATTCACATGGAGATCTGTATTAGAAATTCAGAGGTTGGAAGGAGGTGGGAATGAGTTGAGATAATTGGGTTTGTTTGTCAGAGCTGGGTTTATTGCTTATAAAAATATTATTATGGCATTTTGAGGTGCTTCCATTTTAGCTTGGTATCTATATGGAATTACTCTGCCTTGTTCTGGTGTGTTCTGGATTTGATGTAAAATCTGATTAAGGGTCTTAAAAAATGGCTTTGCCTGGGGTGTTGTGAATTTGATATCCATATCTGACAAAGGCTCTTCCCAGGACATAGATAGCAGTGCAAGAGATATCAATCAAACCTGTGCTGAGTATTAAGTAAAGCTGGAAATGCTGCACAGCCAAGTTTCTGCTTCAAGTGTGGTGATTGTCTTCATTGTCTTCTGAGGCCTCACTGTGGCTGGAGAATTTGGGGCCGTGGTAGTTCAGGTTTGTGTTGTGTAAGTAGGAATGCAAGATAGGCAGTTCCTGTGGGGAGATAGTAATGATAAATGCTGCACAGCATTCCCCTTTTTTCCCAGTAATAACTGGTACAGCCCTTCCCCAGCTCTCTGGTAGCTTTGTAGTGCAGACTGTTATTATGGAGACTTCTCTTGCAGTTCCAGTGCTGTGCAAGTCGAGTTCTATCGAGGTGAACATCCCAAAGGACCTGGTTGGAGGCCTGGACCTTTCCCTCATCAACACTTCGTGCAAAGGCGTCTCCAACGGCACTCACGTCAACATCCATTTCTCCCTGAAGTCCTGTGGTACTGTTGTAGATGTATGTGCTGTACCTACTGCCCTGGCTCTTGGGATCTCTGCATTTGGGGACTTGGCTGTGGCTTCCTTGGGGAACAGGGTTGGTTTAGCTGTACTGTCAGAGCAGTTTCCTGTGTTGCTGTGCAGCTGGTCTCTGAGTAGACCCGGGCTGACATCCCAAAGTAGGAGAGCTTGTTCCACCTCCCCTCCAGTGGTGTGTCTGTCAGTGTGGGTGCTGCTTTCTGCTCACCTGGTGCGTCACAGAGGGAGCTTCACTGTCACGCCACTGCAGAAGGCACAAGTGCTGTCACTCCTCACCCTCCTGTTGAGACAGATTCTGGTCTCCTCTTCTAAAAATTAAACTGGCAGCTGGTCAGGAACCAGAGAGCCCATCTTAGCAGATGGGTGGCACTGGAAGCCAATTCCTCAGCTTGCTGCAGGAGTGCAGTGCATCACAGCCAACAGCAAACTGAGCCCTTGGTTGGTAAGTGAGGGTGAACATCATTCTGGCTGCAGTGTATAAATTCACAGAGCTGTGCCTTCCGTGGCTACTTTGGGTGTCCTGAACAAAGTCAACCCAGAGAGGTCCTTCTCAGTGATCTCCCCTTTCCCTTCGACACCTCTCTTTGCTGCAGGTGATAGATGACAAGATCATTGCCACCAACCTGGTGACTGGCTTGCCGAAGCAGACCCCGGGCAGCAATGGGGACATCATCGTGCGCACCAGCAAGCTGCTGATCCCGGTGACCTGCGAGTTCCCGCGCCGCTACACCATCTCCGAGGCCTACGTGCCCAACCTCAAGAACTCGCCCCTGGAAATCATGAGCCGCAACCAGGGCATCTTCCCTTTCACCCTGGAGATCTTCAAAGACAAAGACTTTGATGAACCCTACAGGGGGGCTCCTCCCACCCTCAAGCTTCGGGACTCGCTGTACTTTGGGATTGAGCCCTTGGTGCACGTCAGTGGACTAGAGACACTTGTAGAGAGCTGCTTCGCCACTCCCACCTCCAAAATCGATGAGATCCTCAAGTACTACCTGATTCAAGATGGGTGAGTTCACTGTTCCCTCTCTTGCTGGCTGTTGGGTGGGAATTGGCAGTGGGGCTGAGTTGTCTTGTCTGTGTGAGGCAGGAAACACTGTCCCTTCTCCACAGCAGTTTATCTGCCCTGCTCCCAGCAATCACCAGCAGCCATCAAGCCAAAGCCACCTGTCCCATCAAAAGTAATTGGGAGAAACTGTGGGAGACAGTGAAAGAGGTTACTCCGAGTGCAGCCTTTACAGGCCATATTTCCCTGTAACTAGCCTTGTGGATAATTGAGTTGGCTCCCGTAGAAAAGATTCTCTTTCCTGATATCCTCTCCCTGCCAGCCACAGACTGCCAAACCAATGGGCAGAACCCCCTGATGGCCATGTGCTGCTGCCAGGCAGCTGCTGCAGCAACTGGAGCAAGTTTCTCGATTTTCTCATAATGGCCTTCTTACAGCATGAGCCAGAAGACTCCATTGCTGATCCTAGTTGAAGCTCCAGGAGCATCCCTCTCTCTGATGTCAGTGCAGCAAACTTTGGGTCCCTCAGATTGGCTGTAATTTTCTGGGGGTTAGTGATCTTTGCAGGATATGCTAAAAACAATTCTGTGTGGATCTGTGGGTTCTCTGTAGTGGGTTTTGCATCAGAGGTTTAGGGAGCACTGCTGGGGGCTCAGCTGTGGCTCCTAAGATGATCCCTGTTTCCAGACACTTCTCTGGGTGCCAAAATGACTGTGCCATGCTACAGCATTGCTGTGGAGCGTTTGCATGCAGGAGCTTAACCAGACAATGCTGTGGAAATGTCACAGTCTGCTGTTCCTCTAGGGAGGGAAGTTCAGTCCAGGGAATATCTAAGACATACCCGTGGTGTTGTAGCCTGGTAGTCAAGATACTGTGTTTGTGTAAGCCCTGTGTGTTGTCTGCCAGACCATCTAATGAGGACAACAATTATTTCCTCAGCTGCCCAGGCTAAATCACCCACCCTTACAGCTGGTGATGACAAGTCCTGTGTCGTTGTCTCACAGCAAAAGGGTCCTGCAGTGTAAAGTACCCAGAAATTCTCTTTTCATCTCCCAATGAAGGATTCAGCTCTCCCTCCATCCTAGGCTGCAGTCCTTCTGTGCCTGACATTTCTGGGCTTTATGAGCAGATTTGTAATGGGACAATTGATTTTATTGACTCCCTACCTTGGCTCTTCCTGTGGACCCTTCACAGAGTCAAGGCTCCAAACATTCATTAATTTCTCCTCATAAGTGATGGGATTCAAAACAGCAAACAAAACCTGAGCCAGATGGAGAAGGGAGAAGGCAGCAAATGTCATGCCTTAAATTCACCCCAGCACTAGTTGGAGGATTTACGGCACCGGCAGCCCCTTGGTACCTGCAGAGGGCATTGAAACTTCATCGAAGGGAAAAGTGGGCTGGAGCCTCATCCAGCCTGCTCCTCTCTGCAGCCTCACTGCAGGCCCCAGTGTCCCCAGACTCACCACCCCCTTGGGCTGGGCTGTAGTTAAACTGCTCACTAATGATGTGCTATCAAACTAACTGGGGTTCTTTGTCTCTCTCTGTGCTTGCAGCGATTCAAAAGTAAAATTAGCTGAATAAATACTCTGCTGAGTTGTCCCTGCTCCAGACAGTTCTGTAATAACCCAGTTTCCTTCCAGCAACCCAGCCCCAAAAGCCCAGGGCAATAAAGATGGGATTTTTAAATTATTTCGATGTAGGATCAGACCTGCAGGAGTTAACTGCAGCTTCCAGAGGGGAACACTGTTCAAATTTGAGGGGATTTACCTTGGACTTAGGGATGGGGAAATTCTCTCTACTGCTTCCTTCCCTGCCTTCTCCAGTCAGCAAGAGGTGGGAGCTGCCTTCTGTGGGACTCCAGCCTTCTCCCCGTGCTGATGTGACCACCCTGGAAACCAGGATTTTTCCAGGTCCCTCCCCTGTAGTACCCTACACTGCTGCTAGCCAAGCCAACCCCAGAGCAGCTCTCCTGCTTCTGATCTGTTCTTCCTCTCTCTGAAAGCACAATGCAGCCAAAGGCACTGACCAAAGCCCAGGTGATCAGTGTTGAAGCTCTCTGGGGCACCCGGAGCGAGGTCGTGTCACGCAGGGCAGTGTGCTGTGGCCAGGAGCTGTGCTTTAACTGAGCACCACGGAGTGAAGGGAGTTCCACTGCAAGGCTCACCTCGGTTACACCTCAGGTTGCCCCTCATTTGTAGTCTGAGGTGGATATTTTATACTCCAAGCCCTCCTTTCTACCTTAGAACCCCCCGGTAAATGGGTCAGAGCACAGCTCCCGTGGCACTGCCAGTCTGCTTCCTGAACTTAAAGCACAATATGCACAAAAAGGCATTATTTTCCCTGTATCCTGAGCAGGCTCATCCATTTTCCTTCCTTACCTGTGCTCCCTGTCCTTCCCTACCTCTCCAAGGTGGGAGACAGGGTCTGGGAGTTTCCTAGGAGAGTGGATTAGGGTATGGCCCCACACAAAATGCAAAAGGGCTTGTCCCCGTGACTCAGGAGGTTTCTGAGCTGGTTTTGTCCATATATCCCTGATTTTTGCTTGATGTTCTCCCATCTCCCTAACCCCAAACCAGTATGTTTCCTGCCACCAGTGTGGCAAACCTTTGGAGAACTTGAGGTTTAGGAGTCAGTTTGAGCTGGTGTCCAAGAATCATCACAGCTGATGTGCTCACAGATGAGGACAGCCCTACGAGTTGACTTCACAGCCCCAAAGCTTGGCCAGTCACCCATGAGAAGTCTTTAACTGTCATTCCTTACAGTCAGATGCCTTCAGGAATACTGCTTTTAACAGCAGTTTTATTCTAAACAACTGAGTGTGTTTGGCCTCAGGGGGGAGGAATCTGTCCGGTTTTGTAGATGCACAGTGATGATTTATCAGCTCCCTGGGGATGAGTTTTGTATTTGCCTCCAGGGAAGTGCTGCAGACAGGGATATCCCTAGTGCTCCCAGGAGCATGTGCTGCTCTCCTGTATGGAGAGCATGATCATATATTGCTAGCGATGGAAAAATTGAAATTATTAATTTAATGCAGTGAATTTGAGCTGTCTGACCAAGTCCAGCAGGAAGAAATATGTAAATGATACAAAGCAAAGCAAATTTGGTTTTTTTTTGCTTTCATCATCTGTGATATTTTAGTAATGTGTGTACAGGCTTCATTTTAAGCATAATTTATGTGCATATATATGTGTACACAGAAGTACATAACACATTCAACAGTGTATAACACTGCAGACTGTTGCACAGGAAGGTGAAACAAGGACAGACTTGCCTGCAGCTCTCTGGCAGTCCCTCTCTGAGGGGACTGGCCCAGGTCCTGCCAGCTCTCTGCTGCTGAGCTGTCCTTTGTCTGGAGATGCTATTAGCATTGCTGTTGTTTTCCCCCATCGTTCCCAATTTTCTCCTGTGGCCAAAGAGGAAGTAGCAGGGATGGTAGCTTAGCTTGAGAGAGCCAAGCCCTCCTTTCCTTTCTCTGGTTAAGTAGGCTGGAATGTCTTTTTCCACTTCTGGGAAAGCCATTAAAAGCCTGTCCCTCTGCTTCCCTCAGCTGCGTGTCCGATGACTCCGTGAAGCAGTACACGTCAAAGGACCATCTTGCCAAGCATTTCCAGGTTCCTGTGTTCAAGTTCGTGGGCAAAGACAACAGGGTAAGCTCAAAACTCATCTCTCAGGTGATTGCATCAGCTCTGATCTGCCCAAGGAATCTCAGCACCAGGGTGGCTGTGTGAGAGTGCAAGGGGGAGGAATGGCTGGGCCAAGGCAGGTGCTGCTGGGCCTGTTCCAGCAGTTGTGTCTTTCAGGAGCCTGACACAGGTGCTTTGGGACAGACTGATAAAAACAACTAAAATTAAGTTGTGGAACATCAATGCCATAGGCTAAAATCACTGTTGTGTCCAAGGTGGTCTTAGTGACCCCCATATGCTGGGCGAGAAGGTGTTCCCAGTCACCAGGCACATTTTGCAGTGTCCTGTCTTCAAAACAGGACAGTCTATAGTTTGGAATCTCTTTAACCTAGTGTCTTCTCTAGCTCTTGGGAGTACAGAGGCCAGGATTCCAGATGCATGGTCACCATCCTGTTCAGTTCAGTGTGAAACCCGGCCGTCCAGGCCAGTGGTACTCTGGGGCAGAAGCTCAGTAGTGAGAGGACAGTTGAAGGATAATCCCATTTCCCTAATGTAAACAGCTTTCCTTTTCTGTACTGGAATAAACTGGGTCTTCTAGTCATTGTTATGCTCAACCAACACTGCCTACTCCACAAGGTATAACGGTGCTGCTCCAGCTACCAGAGAGCCTCATCAGGGCTAAAACAAATGAGATCTTCCAAAATTCAGGAATTTTTCTTGGCCGTCTGATTGCCACTGCTGTCTCCACCCTGCATCCTCCCAGCCTGAGCCATGGATTCTGCTTCAAACCACACCATTGATCGTGTATTTGTGACTGCTGCTTGCAGGGATCTTGCTTCTTCTCCTTGTCATGTATGGGGCAGGGAGCAGCAACCCTCTCACTGCCTCTGCTGTGCAGGATAACAAGGCAGCTGTCTCCCTGCTCTTTGCATTCTCCTCCTTCCCTCAGCCCCTCATCACCCAGTGTTTTCCTCCTTTTCCCCTCAGATTCTTAGCTTTATGTTTTCTCAGCCCACTTCAAATCCTCTTGCACGTTTCTCTCAGCCCATGGCTGTGTGAGGCTTCACGTGTTCTTGACCTGCTCCCTGCCATGCAGCTCCTGCCAGTCCATGCAAGTTCTTCCAAGCTTATTCCTGGCGTTTTCATCCCTTCTTCTGGAGGATCATTTCCTGCCTTCCTGTCCCCTGTGTGTGCACCCTTGGCTCACAGACAGATGCTCTGAGATCTCAGCCGGAGCGGCCGGTTTGGCTGCAGGTGGCGATGGTGGATACAGACCCTGTCGGTGCGGGGACAGAAGTGACTGTGCCATGGCAGTGGTGTGGCTCGTGCTGTGCCAGCAGTGCCAGTGATTCCCAGAGCGCTGACCCCGTCCTGCTGTGTCCCCATCCCCAGGAGGTGTTCCTGCACTGCCGCATCCTGGTGTGCGGGGCCCTGGACGAGACGTCCCGCTGTGCTCAGGGCTGCCGGAGACGCGCGCGCAGGGCGGCCGAGGAGGAGGAGGAGAAGGGGTCTGTTCATGTGGCAAACCACGTCCTGACAGGGGGCCCCATCAGAATCGACTTTGACGACTGACACCCACCCTCTGGAACAGCATCTCCGCCTGAGAGCGGCCTTCCTTATCAGTGCCTTCCTTATCAGTGCCTTCTGCCATGGCTGTTTGAGAAACAAGAGGTATTTGGCAAAGCCCCACTTGCACCTCAGGACTCATTTCCTGAACCCTGTGATGATTATTTGTGAGTGTTTTGGACACCTGGACTGCAGAATGGTTTGGTTTTACCTGCATTTCTTCCCAGCAACCCTTTGGCTGGAGGGACCCTGTTGCTTTGCAGACCAGAAGCGTTTCCCAGCTTTGTCTTTCCCTACATCCACCTACAGGCTCCAGGACTGTGTGTCCTTGGCTAAACAAATGTTATCCAAGGCCTTCTTGCATCAGACAGTACAAACAGTATCATAGCTGAACGTGTTTGCTGTGCAGTTCTGTGGGCGATGCTGAAGCTTCTGGGTGACTGTTAATAAAAACAAGTATAAAATATTCTATCTCATCATTTGTAAATTCCCTGGAGCTGTACAATTGCCGTTACAGGCAGCTAAAGCTCAGCTCTATCACAGGCACATTTAAATGTTATTTTAAAAAGTGAAAGGTATTTAATAAGGTTTGATTTTTTAGTGTCTTTTGGTAATTGCATGCAGTTTAATAGTGTTTCTGCCTATATTTAGCGTATCATTATTTTTCTCCCTCTTCTCCCACCACCAAAAATGCCTTTGCTAAGTGCTCTGGCACCTTGATTGTAAGAGAAGCACCATTAAACATCTTTAAACACCCCCCTCCCAGGCGTGCTGCTACCAAGTGTTTGTTTGGAACTTGTGAGGCTTCACCCCGTTAGAGAGACCGTGGCTCCAACGGAGGGATTAGAGGAATGCACAGTAATTATTTACAGGAATCACTCGTAATGTGGGCAGTTCTCAGGACAGGGCTGTCCCCTGGTGACAGGAGACACCAGGCAGCCTTGTTCAAGTGACTGTGGCTGGAGACACAAGGACTGGTGGCATCGTGGTTGTCAGGAATCTCTTGGGGCTGTCAAGCTCCTTCCAAAGAAAACATAAGGGATGATCAGCTCAGTCTTCTCTGGGCTTCATTCAGGAGCGGGAGCGCTGCAAGGTGAAGGATTGGGGATGTGGGGTGAAAGGAAGGAGGCCCAGTGAGCAGTGAAGGACAAAGGAGAGGCAGGAACAAGGATGAGAGAGGAAGCTGTGGCACTGCAGTGCATTCCTGAGGTTTTCTGCAAGAGGCTTCTCCATGTGCAGCTCCGTCCTGCGTGTTTGGAGGTCTGCTGGAAGGCCCCTATCCTTCATTACCTGTGTTCTGCTTTGGTTGAAAGCAGCCAAATTACTGCAAAAAAGATTTGTTGCTGCTTTCAAATGGATGGGGAGCCTGTTTGAAGGGATCATTTAGAAGGGAGTCACAAATTACCTCAGCAGTATTCCATTTCACAGATTTATTTGTTCTGGCAAGTGAGATTCCAGTGAGGAATGGGCATTTAATGGGCTGAGAGTTTCATGACTTTTCTAAATGGCTTCATGGCTGCTTTTCCAATCTGGGAATATGTGTGTATTTTAGAGTAAATCATCATTTCTGTGATGATACGTAGGCATAAGTGGAAAGACACTGTTCCTGTCTTATCTAGCCATATGTGAAAGAAAAAGAGAGGAAAAAGCCTCCTCCTAGGATTGCTGTTCTGCTGATTCACATCTGCATTAGGACCACACGGGTAGTTTCTTCCTGTCACTTCTTTGTTCAGGCAGCCCTTGCTATATATACTTGTTTTGATAAAACAAGTGCTGGGAAATTAAATTAATGATCTGGGGCCTTCTGGAGAGGGAACTGGTGTTGTTTGTTCATGTGAAAGGGATGTGGGGGAGTGATGGAGGGAGAGGTTCCTTTCCTGGCTTATTTCAGTTATTGTGCACGTTATTTAGCTCTTCCTGGCAAGTTCATGTGAAGCAGCTTTTCTGCTCTGCAGCTCTTTAGCTAAGAAATCCAGATTGGGATATCCAAGGTATCTATGGCTTGGAATATCCAGGTATAAACACCTATTTACCTGAGGTCCTAGTCCCTGCTTTTATGCCCCCAGTGGAAACAGAGATTGCTGTCTGTGGAGGGCCCATTGGCTGAATGGCTTGAAGTCAGCAGGAGGTGAAAAATAATCCTGCCAAGACACGAAGCCCATGAGAAGCCACGGGGTGAGCACAGTGTCATCTTCCTGTCGAGAGCAGAGCGGGAGCGAAGGTGACCCAAGGTTTGTGCATTGACCTGGAGAATCCTGTGATCAGCTGCTTCCAGGGCTGTACACCACTGGATAGCAGTGTGGAGGGGAAGCAATTTTTGGTTTTAATGCAGTTTTACTGGAGTTCATGCACTGGTTTTCTCCTACCTGGGATTATCTGATGGTTTTCTCAAGTCACTGCCTCCGCTTGGAGGTTCAGAAATTTCCTTGTAGAGCTGCTCGTGGGGTTTTGCAAATTACCAGAGAGGAAAAGGCACTTATTCAGCAGCTGGTCTGCATGCAGCAGGCTCTAGGGTTTGGGGGTGAATGGTGGTCTGAAACATGAAGAAATTATGATTTATGTTAGTGGCGTCTCCGACGCATCAGTGTCTGCACAGAGAGGTTCTGTTCAAACCCTTTGATTTCTCCAGTGTATGTCACCACCTACCAGCAGTTGCTTGCCTTTACTCTGATATCATTTGAACTGTAAAATATTTGAAGACATTTTCCAGCCAGTTGGCTGTTGAGTGTAGACAATGTAGACGCTTTAATTTCTTTGTCATTTAATCCTAAGAGTATGTTCACATTTAAACAGGCAACAGGCACCATTTCACCAACAAAATGTGAAGTTGGGGAAGTGTCTGGAATGAGGGATGTTTCCTTCCCATCCCTGGGCAAAAGCATGTGTTTCTTAGATGGATGATCAAGGCTGTCTGTCCAGACAGACACACACAGCAATGTTCCTCTCCAGTGGCATTAGCCCAGCTGGGAAAGGATGTCATTGCCTCTGATCAGTGTAAATTAAGGTCCTCCATAATGGAAAACACCCCAGGCAGTCACTGCCATTTTCCTGGTCTGGATACCAGTGGGCTCTTGTTGTCTCAGCCTGTTTGGGGCCAGTTGAACATCTCATTGCTGTTCTCTGGGAAGCAAAGACAACTGGTGAGAACAGAAATATGGAGCTTAATTAATTTATAGCTCCGTGCACACATTTAAACCCAAACTGGAAGAAAAGTAACTAAGACAGACTCTTTCCACTCTGGTTAAATCACCCTTCTGCAGCCTTAACTTCTCCGTGGCAGATGGAAGAACATAACCATAAATATGTTTGCAGAAGCTGCTGAAATATTTACGTGGCACGGCACGAGCGCCCAGTAACAACTTCCTTCCAACGAGAAACCCAGCTGAAAGCTGTCTGCCAATGCTGTGTGGAGATGAAATGCCATATACCACTTTAAATTCTAATTTTGCATGCAATAAAAGCTCTCCATAACAGATGGGAGCATTAACCACGTTTTAGAAGGAGCGGTGTCTGAGGCTGCTGATAGCAGCCCCACAGAGGTAGCACGTCAGCCCTGTCATCTGACAGATAAGCCTCCAGAATTTGGAATATCTCATCCAAGGCCACTGTGAGCTTCCTGTTTCCCTCGTGCAGAAGATGGGAGTGGATACCCAGCCATTTTGTGTCAAAAGGGATCCGAAGGGAAAAGCTTTGTTAAATGGTGTAGGAGGAAAATAATTAAATAGATGTGGATGACACTGCCAAAGAAAAGCAGCTTTGTCTCCTGAGACTTGGGGGAAGAGGGCTGGGATTTCACATCTGAGAAGTGATGGGCTTTGGTCCCAAATATGAATTATGCCTTTATCACAAACACCTCACGTCCTTCTCGTGTTTACCAAATCTCCAGATGTTTTAGATTGTTTTAGGATCCACCAGATATTTAAATATGCAGGGTTGTCAGGGTGTGCAATGATGGGATGGAAAATGTCAGGGATGGGTGTGAGCAATGTACTGAAAGCAAATTACCCTTCTTTAGTCTGTTACCAGTGGTGGAAAAACGTAAATAGCATGTCCATGGACCAGGAATTTCACAGGGGTTGCAGAAACCTAATGCCTTGCATGGCAAATTAGAGAGTTCCAGGATGGGAGGAGCTAACAGGTGTGTGTTCAAGGTAAAGCCCCTTTTTATAACCAGCACTGCATCCTGCTTGCCTCCCCTGGTCAGTCCACGGAGAAGATTGGCATCAGATCTCCCAGGCTGCTGGCCTTGGAAAGGGGCAGCAGGGCTGTTGGGCTGCTGCTGAGGTGGACAGCAGGCACGGCTGCCCCGTGCTCCCAGGCTGTCCCCGCCGTGCCCACGGGCTGTGTTGATGTGAGCCCAGGGGTGACAGGAGTCACTGTGTGGAGAGGGGACCCTCGGCAGCTCCTGCTCACAGCTCGTCGCGCTCCTCCTCGCTGCAGATGCAGGCGCTCCTCTGGCTGTTCATGAAGGGCCGGCAGCCCAGCGTCCACACGGCGTTGAACACGGTGTCTGCCACCGACTCGCAGGCTGGGGAAAGGACAGGGCCAGGCAGGTGAGTGGTGGCACCCCACTGAGCTCCCTGGGCTTTGGGGTTTGCCCCTTGGGGCTCTCATCCTCCCCCTGGGAACTGCATCCTTACAGACCCCGAGGTTCCTTCTGCAGGACTGGGGGCTCCTCTTCTCCCTCGTCTCTCCCCTCTCACCCCTCCTTTCTTGCCTCTCTCAGGCTTTACTGGGTGATAGATCACCTGGGGCTCTGCAAACAACACTGTTTACCAAGCATATTTCCCAGGAGACCTCCACACTGCAAAAGTGGCTGCCTTTCCTGGCTCCCTCTCCCCTCAGTTTAGCCTATAGCCACTATTGACCGACCTTGTTGTGCTTTTGGAGAGTTATGATGCCAGCAGGAAAAATCCTCCTACAGTTGGAACAGCTGAGTGCCTGACTGCTAGCCCCTCCTCATCCCAAAAAGCAACCCTGAAACTGCTTGTCAGTAAATAATTGGTTATTATAAGGACTTTAGGGTTTACTCACTGGCATAACATTGATTGTTGTATGCATAATAAATTTGGGAAAGCCTTGCCTTTGGGACTGTCTTCTCCCATCTCAGCCTCTCCAAGCACCTCAAAGCTCCTGCTCCTTTGGGAGTTGAAGAGGCTGTGATGAGTCAGTGGTAAAACCAAGGCTTTGGCAAAGTGGCACTTGCTGCAGCTGGAATGTTTGTGCCCACACCAAGGGAGTGCAGCTGCTCTTCCCCTGCCTGCTTTCCCTGGGCTCCTGGTGAGTCAGTGGAGAGGATCCCAGATAAGTGACACGGTGGGGAGCCATCTGCACTAGTACTGGTGTTACAGACCTCCCATGTGTCCTAATCAGGCTGTACCTTCAGAAAACAAATGCACATTTAAGGACACCTTACAGCAGGGCATCAGCAGAGATTACCAAACACAGCCCTTACCAAAAAGCTCTTCTCAGACTTGCAGAATGAGCCTTTTAAAATTTAGGCAAAACCAGGGTGGCACTTGAACTGCTGACACATCACTAGAGCTTTCATTAGCACTTCTGGGCAATCCAGATCTGCCCTGGATGGCTCAGCAGTGGCTCAGCCACCACCCACACTGCGGTGTGTCCCTGCTGCCATCAGCATCTCTTATCTGGGAACCACATCCCAGACAGTCCTGTCCTTGGCTCTCCCAGTTTGTTGGCCCTTGGCCACGTACAGGACAGGTTTAGTGTGTGGCTTTAGTGGCTCTGGAAGGTTTTTGGTATCCCATGTTTGAACTCTCTGGGAGGGCATCCAAGCTTTGAAGGAATTGCTTCCTGGGTTTTTTTGGAGTTTTTTTGTTTTCCTTTCTACATTGTAATGTTTTCCAAATGCCAAAACCCCTGTAGGTCTCCAGTCTCGGGACAGAAGTGTGTGGCAGAGGGGGCAAATCTCTGTGTTCTCACCCATCCCTGACCCACCAGTGACAAGCACAGGGCACAAGTGCTGCTCCCTACTGCCGATTTTTGCTTCTTTTGGCCAGGAAAAAGGGCTCTTTGCCCTCACCCTCCCCTCCCTGCCACCTCTGGTTCCCTCCCCAGGGAATGCCAGCTGGGGAGCCCACCTTGGACCTTGGAGACGAAGCCGAGGCTGCGCTTGAGGTCGGAGCAGATGGAGTGGAGGCACCAGCGGAACTTGGCGTCACAGCGGTACTTGTTGGCCCCGCAGGTGTCATAGCAAATGTCCAGCTGGTTACAGCACTTGGTCATGGCAGGGATGCCCAAATCTAGCTGGGGAAAGAGAAAAGAAGTGTCCCTGGGCTGTGTCCTGGCCTCAGGCTCACACAGCTGTGATGGGGCGAGGTGCTGCAGAGCCCAGCTGGTCCCTTCTCCAGAAATTTCCCCGGATAGCTGGGGCAGAAGGAGGGAACATGGGATGCTCCCTCACCATCTGAAGAAAGTGGTGACAGTGGTGCAGATTCAGTGCAGGGTAGATCCCATTCCCTTCTCCCCTCTCTGTCACAGGGGATAAACCTCTGGTAGAGAGGGGGGAAACAGCCCCTCCACAACCATTTGCTGTTTTTCGTTTGTCCGAGCTCATCAGAGAGCTCCATGTCCTTGCCAGCAGTGGCAAAAGCCCCTTTTTCCTCCTTTTCCCAAAATGTAACAAGTCCTGCATTTTGGCCTAATAAATCTGCCATAGGTGTTTCTAATGACTCATTTCTCAGAGATGCACTTGTGAGGCCAAGGACAAACACGGCGTGGTCAGGGGAGTTCTGCTCTCCTGGAGTAAACAGCAAGCTTAGCTAATAACCGTGGGACTGAGGGGGCAGAAGGCCTGTCTTCTGGAGAGATTGGACTCATTAGCTTGTTATAAATTATTCCTCTTTTTGGCCTTCCTCATGTAATATTTAGGAGATGAATTGTTCCTTCGTTGTGCCTGTGATTGCCCATGTCAGGAGGAGCTACCACAGACATACCCACAAGGTTTGCAGTGAAATAGAGTTTAAGGGACTAAACCTAACATGCAAAATGGGCTGCAAAGAGAGGGGCTTTCAGAGCAGGAATCTGCCTAATTGCTGCAGACTTCATGGGCTGCATGAGCTAAAGGGGAATTCCTGCTCTGAGAGCCTCCTGGGAGTGCTTTTCCCAGCGACTCTGATATGATTTCATTAATTGCCTTTAAAATAACAGGCAGGTGCAGCATCAAAGCCCATGTGTTTAATTCAGTGCTTGGCAGAGGCAAAAAGCCTGGGAGGGGTGAAGGGCCAGGGGTGGAGGATGCACTCAGGTATTGCTGTGTGCACAGTGTCACCGAGCTTCCCAGCACTGAACGTGTTCCCTTCTCTCTTCTCAGAATTACTGGCTGGTTTTGTGATTAGGGAGCTGCCCCATTTCAGTACATACACTTTCGGGTACCTTGAGCCCCAGAAAATTGGAGCTACAGCCGTTGGGTTCCTGGGGCTTGTAGTGAGGTCGTGGCATTGGAGCCTTCCCTGGAAAAGAAAGGAGAAGGGTTAGGAAAGCCCATCTTCCCAAGAGGTAGCACCACAAAGCAAGGAGTGGCAGACAGCTCCCCTTTGGTCTGCATCCCCAAACACTTCATTCCAGTCCAGGAATGTGCCTCCTGAGAGCTCTGCACAGCTGGGATCACCCAGGTGGGGTTTTAACTCCTGCAAGGAGTTACACCACTAGCTTAGCAAGGGGTTTCTTTCCACCCTCAGTTCTTTCTTGGTGTTGGTGTGCTACGGGGCTCCACAAAATTGTGTTAGACCTTGCATGTCTGATCTGGCTCTGAGCAGGTCTTCTTGGTCCATTTTCTGCAGATGGTGATGCACTGCCACGTTTTGCAAATCGTTTCTATTCCTTTAATCCCTGCACCTCCCTCACTCTGCTTCTTAATATGCATAAAGGAGCAAGAATTCCCTCTATGAGTAATTATTTACCTAATGCAGAAAGAGTCCAGCAAACAGTAAGTAGCTTCAGCAGCATTTTAATCATTTAATTCTGATTTTTGAAGGTGTGCAGCCCTCCTGTGTCCCAGCCATGCTGGAGTTCTGTGTATGGCTGACAGAGCACTCTGGGTGTGAGGGGGGTGTGCTCAGGACTGGGGTGGGAACCATCTGTGTGGAAAGGAGATGTGGCTATTCCCTGCCCTGTCTCATCCTCTTTCTGTTATCCCCAGCCAACACCCCCTGTTTGGGGAGAACACATCTCCAGGCTGCCTGTGTGCCTTGGTCCTGCTGCACAAGGAGTGTGTTTAAGGGTGGGAGAGGATTCTCCCCTGGAGAAGTTGTGGAGACCCCCCTCAGGGAGCTGGGTTTCTCTGTGCTCTCCCTCAGTGTGTGTTCAGTGCTTCTTTCAGTCCCAGCTGGGTTTGCAAAAGGGGGATCTCCAATGCAGAGTGAGGTGTTAAAACAAGACATTTGTCACAGAATATCCTCAGTTGGAAAGGACCCACAAGGGTCACCGAGTCCAACTCCTGGCACTGCCCAGGACACCCCAACAATCCAAGCCTGTCTCCAAACCCTCCTGGAGCTCTGGCAGCCTTGGGGCTGTGCCCACTGCCCTGGGGAGCCTGGTCAGTGCCAACCACCCTCTGGGGGAAGAACCTTGTTCTAATATCCAGCCTAACCCTCCCTGACACAGCTCCAGCCGTTCCCTGGGTCCTGTCACTGCTCTGGGAAGACATTGTAAGCTGTGTGAATTTTCCAACAAAGACATGTGAGCTGAGTCTTCTGTAAGTCTGTCACATCAAAGGTTAAGTTTCTACTTCCCTGAGCACTGCTAGAGAATTTATATAGACATTAAATGGATCTAGTTCAGCCCTTCAGACAGGGTCGGGTTCTTTTAAACTCAATTTCCACTGCTTTCTCCTTGTCAGCACTGATAATTATTTAAGACTCCTTCCCCTTTTTTGTGTTGAGGTACCTAAAATGCCAGTGGTTAATATAGCCATAAATCTACTGTGCTCTTGAGAAGACCTCACAGCCAAATGCCTTGAAAGGTCTTATGTAGGAGTGTGCCCAGCACCTGCTCAGGTAAAAATTGTCAGGGTGGTTTAGTTTAAATAACAGATTTGCAACAAATAAAGAAGAAACTGAAATCCTGTCCAGCTGTGAGATGCCAACGGTCAATTTTCCCCTTCCAAATGAGCCTTGTTGTTCTTTTGGAAGGGGATGAGAATTGGGACTCAGAATTCAAATGTTCCTGAGCTGAGGTAGGAGGCAAAGTCCAAAATCCACAGTGGGTTTTGCAGGATGGAGTCAAATTGGAATGACTTGCTTGTAATATTAAGTTATGTTCCTGCAGCACATTGCCAATTAATGGGATAAGGTAAGTCAGAGCAGGGGTGAGACTGTTTGGGGATATGGAGAGTTCCAAGCTCCATTACCTAGTTCCAAGCCGCAGATAACTCTGTTTCCAGAGCAAACCTTCCATTAAGCTGAAGTCACAGCTTGTTAGAATGCCTTAGAAAGTTGTCCTGAGGAAAAAACCCTCACATGAGAGTTGTGGTGATCAACAAAACACTGAACTGCCTCTGAGATGAGCCCTTGTAGGAAACCTGCCCCCTCCTCTCTGAAAATAGAGCTTAATAATTTGTAAAGTGCCTCTTTATGAACTCTTACACCACTATTAACCTCTCTCCCATGCCTTGTTTTCTAGTTAACAGGAAAACAAAAGCAGATCAGAAATACCAGGCGTTCCCGACTCTCCACGAGCATCAAATCCCTGCTCCTGTTACCACTTATTGCTTGCCCATTCTTGCAGTCAAGAAAATATATTCCAGGGCACTGCCTTGTTGGCAGAGCCTTGGAGCTGAAGCTGAGTCTCCCTGCTGCATTTTAAGGTCTCCAGGCTGTTGTAGCTTCCCCAGAGGCTGGAGAGCAGCCAGCTGGCTGAGCAGCTGCTGGCCATGCAGGAGGTCCCACACACTGCAGTGCTGGGACCCTGGCAGGGGGAGGTGAGTGTGTTTCTGCTGAATAGATGGTCTCGGGGCTCCTGGCAGTTTTGGGTGGTCCATCGTTGTTTCTGTGCCCCAGGCAGGCTTTGAGCAGAGGTTCTCCTGCTTGCCACAGCCTTTTAGTGCAGTGCTGGAGAGCCTGACTTTGAAGGCTCTTTTCTCACAGCCTGGAGGTGCCTCCTCATCTTAAGGCCTTCAGGGCCAAACGCTGGGCAAAGCATTGAAGTCCTGCCTGGTCAGAGAGCTGAAGGAAGCTACAAGGGCTTTACTCCCCTCCCAGCTCAGACTCTTTGTTTCCCCTGAGATGCCCAGAGACTCTTTGTAAGCAGGAGCAGCTGTTTGCCAGTGAATGCCAGTGTAATTCTAATGTCCTGATTTAAGTGAATAATCCATCAAGTTGTTTGTTTTCAGACCTCACTAGCTGCTGAAAAATCAGGAGAGTCTTAGAGCCAAGTGCTATGTGCTCAGCTGAAGATGGATGTGGCAATTAGAGGTGAGTCCTGATCTTTACTGGAGCAAAATAAGCTATTATTGGTATTTCTTGGCTGAAATGAAAGAAAGTAGAAGGCATAATTTTTTGCTTTTTGCCTGGGGAAGAAAAGCATTTGGGCCCTGATTCAGCATAAAGATGGTTTGTGTTTGTTCTTCTGGGCACAGGCTGGATCTCACTGGTTTGGGATCATCCTGGCATCTTCTGCACTCACGGTTTGCAACGTCTGTGCTAGAGACTGGCACGGACAAACGGTCCTGGAAGGGTCCAGCAGGACCCTTGGAGGCACATGGGCAGTGTTTCAATAGTTTCCTCCTTCAGCCAGTGATTAATGAGTTGTTCAGCAGAGGATGAGAGCTGGGATAACGATGTGCTTGTTCCTTTTCCTTTCTAGGTAAAACGCTGCTCCAGTGAGACACAGGATGCTCTCGGGTGGAGCAGGCCTTTGTGCTGCTCTCTGGAGATGCTCTTCACAGGGACAGAGGCAGGGAGAGCCTCGGGGTGTGTCCAAAAGCAATGACTTCTCCAGGATTTGGTGAGTCCTGAGAATCCCTGAAAGCAGTTCTGAACAGCAGCGTTGCCTCAGGCCCACTGCAGCCCCAGCCACGTTATTCACCACCCAGGGGGTTCAGCCTTTGCATTAAGAAGGGCGAGCCCCCTTCTGCTCTGAATCTGGAGCACAGTGTGGACCTTGAGGAGGTTGTCACTGCCACACTGTGACACGGGGACAGGCTGCCCCATGGGCACATGGCCTCGTGCTGTGGGGTGTGTGGGGGCTGCCTCCCCCAGACACTGGGGACACCAGTGGCCCTCCTGAGCTGCTGCAGAGAGGCAACCTGAGCTGGGGGGGCTGTGGGGCCCTGGGCTGAGGGACCAGGGCCACTGTGGGGCTGAGGTGCCTGACTCCCTCCATTCCATGGGGGGATTGCCTAGCCTGCTGCCCCCCTTGTTCGGTGTTAGTGTGGGACCTGAGGAGCAGAGCTGGCAGGAGTGGGAGGACAGATACATATACACGTTATTCAGAAACAGAACAAGAAACTCAACAACTTTCAGACTGATTTTAACCTCCCTGTGGCCCCATTTTGGTTAAGCATGCCCCCTCTGCCCCTGACAGTGGGCTCAGGTCATCCCTGCAATAGCTATTTCTCCCAGCACCCTGGCTGGGAGGGGCAGGAGGTCCATGGGATGCATCCAGGCTGAAAGAGAGTCAGTGGGATCTCCCCAAAACATGGAGTGTTTTTGTGAAAACCGATGCTCAGGGAAGAAGAGGGCTTGAAATCCCTCTGTGCTCACAAGCACCTTGCTGGGCAGTCACTAGGGGTGTGGGATGAAGCTGGGGGAAAGGGGCTGCCAGGCTGTTGTGGATGGGCAGGCTGAGGTGACAGAGGACAAGGTTTGCTGTGGGGACAGTTGCAGGAGGCTGAGGAGAGGATACAGTCTGTAGGAAGCCTCCTTGCTTGCTCCCAAGCAGGTTGTTTCAGCGGGTACCCTGCTGATGGCTGGTGCTGCCCGTGTCTGTCACCCCACAGACCTGCAGCTCTGCACACCCCGTGCCCTGCCCTGCCCTCCCTGAGACCCCCTTCATCCTGCCCCCGGCACAAACCAAATTCCTCCTTTTTGGTAAATCGCTCTAAAGTCCAAGGCAAGCGAGAGCTGCCTCATTCCACCGCGGGTACTAAAGGTTCCCCCGGTCTCCTCCCTGTTCTTTCCCCTCCTCCAGCCCGCGGCGTCGGCCAGCTCGCAGCTGCTGAATAAGGGCACTCCTGGAGCTGCTGAGTTGGGGCCGCGGGCTCGGCCTGCCCTCGGGCTCTCTGCCCACCCTGCCCCTTGCAGGGCTCCGGGCAGCCTGGGTACCCCGTGTGCCCCTCCTGCAGAGCCTGGGTCCTCTCATCCTGCCACCGTGCCCGGGGCTCTGGGCTCGGGCTGTCCTGGGCACGGGGAAGGAGGAGGGCTTGGTGTCCCTGTGTGAGCTCGGGCTGTCCTGGGCACAGGGAAGGAGGAGGGCTCGGTGTCCCTGTGCAGAGAAGGTGTCCCTGTGCGGGCATGGCAGAGAAGGTGTGACTGTGCCGAGCACAGCAGGGGCAGGTCACGGAGAGCAGAGCTGGCTGTGGCCAGGGAAGGAGAGGGAGCCAGCAGCAGTGAGGGCACTCACCGTACCGACATCTGTACTGACAGACGCCGTTCTTCCCCCCGAGCAGCTCCAGGAAGGAGTCGAAGTAGCTGTTGACCGTTTCGAAGCCGTCCCGGATGGTGTCGATGCCCCAGTCGGAGTAGGATGACTCTGCCTGTGGGTCCTGGTGGCCGGTGCTCTCCCGTGCTGCCCCCTCGGAGCACTGCCCCGGCCCCAGGCACAGGCACAGCAGCGCTGCCCGGAGCAGCAGCCTCATGCTGCAGTCCAGCCCCGGAGCCTCGGGAACAGGGAGCAGTGGGATCGAGCTGCCCGGGGTGGGAGGCGGGTAAGCACCCCCTCCCTGGACTTTAGACACTGCCAGGGAGCCGGCATGAGGTCACTGCAGTCGGAGAGCAAAGTGCAGCGCCGGGATTTGGGCCCAAGTTCACCTCACAGAGGTGTGAGTTTGCACAATCCCGCTGGAACAGGCTCAGCTCCTGTGGCACCAGGGCTCCAGCTCCCCAGGAGGGACCCCTCCCTAGGGGGCTGAGCGGGGTCTGTCTGCCCAGGACCCTCCACCTGCCCCATAAGGCCACCCCACTCCCTCCCCAGCCTGTTGGGAGATGGGTATCTCTGTCCAAAATTTCTGCTGCCCAAGCAGTAGATCAGCACACTGAGGAGCACCCCTTGCCTTTGCCCAGTGCCTCCTGGGCACGGGATGGGGTGGGACGAGACCCAGCTTAGCTGCTCCCAGCAAACCATGTGGGACCACAGAGCCCCAGAGGGGTTGATCCAGCAATTTAGAATAGTTTGGGATTACAAACACTGCATTGGAGCAATTCCTTGGCATCACCTCCACTTCAGTATCAGTGTTGTAGATGAGTATTTGCCTTTGATGTGGCTCCTGAAGGCTGATGTTACAGCTTCTATGGAATGTCAACACTGCCAAATTAAACACACAGCATTGCTGACCCAGAGTGAGGAAGGGCTGGCACCAAAACCTGAGCCAGGAAAGGGGCTTGTAGGGGAGCTGCAGGTCCTGGCTCTGGGGTGGGACTGCCCTGCCAGGACCCAGGGCCCTGCACAGCTGATGGACAGTTCAAGGAAATCACTCCTTAAAAAGGAAACAGTCAAATGAACACGAGCAGCAGAAAGACAAGGCAAACCACTGATAAAGAATAGGGAAGGAAAGCAATATGGGAAGTCTCTGGCTGCTCTCAGAAAACTTTTGGGATGTGTCCCAGCACAGCACTGCTCCTCAGGGGGAGCTGGGCAGCAGGTCTTTCAAATATATGGCAAACACAAACACCAATTCTGGCATTTTATTGTATTGCAGGATATTCAGCCTCACTGTGTTGCTGCTTCTGAAGGGCCAGAGCCCCGTGGTAGTGCCTGTGTCTTTCTGGATATGGCCATGTGTGATGTGCTCCAGACTTGGGATGAAGGAGGAAGGACCACAGCCAAGTCTTGGTTTCCCAGGCAGGTAAGTCAGAGAACTGGGGAAGAGGAGCAGACAAGGTGGTTGGTCCCATTCCTGTGAAATAGTGTGGAGCCAGAGGCAGCTGCTGTCTTTTTGTTCCACCTGTTCTGAGGCCCAGCACTGCCTGGGCTCAGTTACTGGCTGGGGGAACATGTGAGGAGTGTGGGAGATCCAAAGGGAACCTCAAACCAGCTTTGTCTTTTGAGAGCTAAACCCGGATACAGAGAGCATTGGGAAGGGGGGTTGGCAGTGTCCAAACTGCAGACAAGGAGGGGGAGCACTGTAATGTCTGGTGAGAAATTAGGGTGATGTTTTGGGCTGAGCTAGAGGTACCAGGTTGCTCCCAGAGAGTCTGTTCCCTGGATCCTGGGAACCAACCAGCCCTGCCTCTAAGTGAGCCTTTTGTGACACCTGTGTCACCCCTGGCACAAAGCAAAGGATGGTGAAGTGAGGATTTCCCTGCAGGAGCACTGGAGAGCTCAGGCTTGTCCTGCTGTTCAGACCGTGCTGGGGACTGATCTGTCAGCCATGGGTGGAAATGGTCCCTGGAATTTGGTGCCAGGGAGCCCCAGTGCAGGGAAAATCGGGCTTAGCAGTCCCGTGCTGTGTCTGTCAGTGAGTGGAGCCATTGGTGTCTCTGCTCAATCCCTGCCCTGCCTGACACTCCAGTTTGCAGTCCCAGTGCTCCCAGCCCTTACCAACAGCCTGGCAGAAATTAAAAAGCAAACCAGCTGTTTAGGAATGGCTTGGAAATGTGTAGAGCCCCTGGGTGTCTGTGCTTGGTGCCATGCTTTTAATATGGAGCCTTTTAGGGCTGCTCTGGAGGCAATTCCAGAACGCAGCTTTTTTTTGTCATCCCTTGGTCCCTGGTGCCTGATCCATGTGCTGCTGAAGGCAAACGGAGAGGAAAAAATGCCGGCAGGACTGCAGAGGATGCAAACCACAGGGAATTGTGTCATGAGCAGGACATGCAGCCTGGAGGGGGTGGCTCTGGAGCCCAGGCTGTTTGCAAAATCAATTGGAATTAGTTAGGAAAGCTGAATAGGGTGGGGAGGGAGGAGCTGGCAAAGTGCAAAGCCCGGGAAAAGAGGAGTCAGAAACTTTCTTGCCCGTTTGTCGCTTGTCCTGGAGCAACGGTTTGCGAATAAAAAGCAGTTTAACTGCTTTTCCAAAACGTGGCAGCCCCTGTGCCCTGCCCTGGGGATGAGCCACTCTTCTTCCTTCCTCCCTCCTGCTTCCTTCCTCCCCTCCTCACACCAGTCTCCTGAGGCGTTTCCAGTCCAGCTGCAAATAGCTCGGTTGCACCCAGACTTTAAGATCTGAAGACCAGGAAAAATGTAGGACTGAGTAAAAGTGACACACTGTTCCCTCAGGGAGCTGCTGAGCAGCTGCAGCAGCGAGGAACTCCCCGACATGGGTGTGCACAGCAGGTACCAGGCCTGGCTTGGACCCACTGCAGTTGTGAATGCCCCCTCCCTGTGCTGGTTTTGCTGTCTCTGAAGATTGAGATGCTGTTTGTGAACTCTGACAGCTGGGTTCTGAACCTTGTCCTGACCCCGGGGTACGTGCTCCTGACTCGGTGCATTCATTTCTGCCTCTGTAATGCTTAAATATAGAGCAGCCCCGGGCCGTGGTGAGTCACACATTCCCAGGGACACTGTCAGGCTGCTGGCAGCCCCTGCAGCAGGAGGGAGAGGTGACTGTACCCAGAGAGAGAGGTGACTACACCCGTCCCAGCGCTGGGCGCGTGCGCCTGCGTCCCCCACGCTTAGGGGAGTGAAGCCCGTCCCATATGGAGCTGGAAAATCTCTCTTGGCTTCACACTGGGAGCAGCTGGAGCTGCTCCAGCTCCTCTAGTGCATTCCCTTCTCAGAGCACGCTGCCACAGGTCTGTGCTATGCCGGGATCCTTCCCTTGGTGGCCTGCTGGGGATGTGGGATTGAGGCACTGAGCTCTTCTTCCGTGGGCTTTGGATGGCTCCAGGGGTTGCTGGTCGGTGTTTAGCACAGGGAAGAGGCAGCTTGTGGTTCAGGTTAGTGGGTGATCCGTGGCTGCTCCAAAGGCTGGGTTGGGAGCCAGATGAGTCACTGATTATGGGAACAGAGAAGTGCAGCTCGATGACGAAATACCCGAGGCTGAGTCGGTCAGAGTCCAGCAGCTGGAGGAAGATGGGTGGGTGGGTGAAGATCCCCTCCCTCGTGGGGGCTGTGCTCAAGTGTGTGAGCAGGTCCAGTCTCTCCAGGAGTCCCTGGACAGGTCCCTTCAGCCCTGTGCTGCCCTGTGATTCTGCCCCTCAGGTGAGACCCCCCTGCAGAGCTGCCTCCAGCCCTGGGGAACAGCACAGCAAGGACATGGAGATGCTGGAGCCAGTCCAGAGGAGGCACCAAGGCTATTAGAGGGATGGAGGAAAGGATGAAAGAATTGGGATTGTTCAGCCTGGAAAAGAGAAAGTTCTATGGAGACCTTAGAGCCCCTTCCAGTGCCTAAAGGGGCTCCAAGAGAGCTGCAGAGGGACTTTGGACAAGGGATGGAGTGCCAGGACAAGGAGGAGTGGTTTTAAATTGACAGAGAGCGGGTTTAGATATTGGGAAGGAATTCTTGGCTGGGAGGGTGGGGAGGCCCTGGCACAGGTTGCCCAGAGAAACTGTGGCTGCCCCATCCCTGGAAGTGTCCAAGGCCAGGTTGGAGAGGGCTTGGAGCAACCTGGGCTAGTGGGAGGTGTCCCTGCCCATGGCAGGGGGTGGGATGAGATGCTCTTTAAGGTCCCTTCCATCCCAAACTATTCTGGGATTGTGTGATCCTGTCAGACCCTTCCCTTCATTTCATCCCTGCCCTGTGACATTCACAGGCCCTTTTCCCTGTCCCTGACCCTGTCCTACCTTTTCAGCTGCAGCTGCTCAGTCCTTACCCTGGTGGGGTTCCTCCCGTGGTTGTGACCCCCGTGGACATGCTCTGGGTGCAGCTGTGCCAGAAGAGCCCCAGGGGGATGGTGGGAAGCCACGGCACCCGAGCACTGGTCAGGGTGTCCCAGGGCTGATCCACCACCTTCCCTTCCTCCAGGGGAGGGGCCAGGGCCTGCCTTGCTGAGCAGGGCAGCAGCACAGAGGGGCTGGGCATGGAATCCAGCCCCCTTTCCAAAATAAACCAACGCTGGTACACTTCAGACTCATTTCCTATCCTGTGGCTGCCAAATCCACCAGCACATCAGCTGTGTCCGTGGGCAGTTCCCTGCCCCTGAGCCAAGTGCTCCAGCAGCAGCACAAGGCTCCGTTCCACAGGCAGGAGGATCAAAGGCTTCTGACCAGCCCTTGCTGTGCTTTTTGCAGGTTCCTGATGGCCACAAATTAAGCAGGAGCTCCACTGTTCCCGAGGGTGAAGCCCAGGAATGGCTGTGGTCTGTAAACCACCGAGGGTTTGGATAAGGAAGATGTCAGCCTGACCTTCCTACACGTGAGTGCTTGGTCTTCCTGTGGTGCTGTTGGAGTCTCTGGTGCTTTCTTCCCCCCCAGAACTATCCAGAGCAAGTGCTTGTTTGACCTCGGGCTTCAGGAAACGGATTTGTCCCCCTTGGGAAAGGGTCTCTGAGCAGGTGCCCCTCTGCTGTGCCTGTGGTGTTCCAGCCCCAGATCTCGTGTGGTTACTGAACCCACAGCAGCTTCTGCCACCAACCACTGCCCTGGGGAGGCAAAGGCTGGGCCACACTCCTCCCCAAGACCTCCTTGCCCTAAATTTTTAGGCACAAGGTGCTTTGGGCCCAGCACTATCTGCTCTCCCCTTATGCAGTCCTTCAGTGCCCAAAGTGTAACATTTAACAGGAATTTGTGATAGGAGCATCTCCTGCACCTGCCCCCCGAGGTGGTGAAGGGAGGAAGATGAGCTCCATCTTCCACAGACAGTGATAAACCCCTGTGTGATGAGATTTACAGCAGCCACATACAGGAGAGCTGGATGTGGAGGATTTCTCACTGCTGATGGCAGTGGCTTTTATTTGAAGCCTGTTCTCCTTTTTTTTCTTTTTTTTTACATTAAAAATTTTATTACAAAAAAAAAGTAACAGTAAGGCAGTTTCTCAGTTGTCAGTCACTGTGAGCCAAACAGTTTTCAATCATCTTTAATACAAAACTAGATTCACATGGGAGCCACGCTCGGGATCCAAAAGCCCTTTGAGAAATGATGGGGGTGAGGCAGAAAGCAGCAGCACCAGTGGAATCCCTTACAGTCAGCATTGGATGCATGGACACTGCTGCAGTAGAGGGAGTAGAAATGGGGATTGTCTGCAGTTGAAAAATATCAAATGACCTTTTGTCATAATCTGGGACGTTCCTGATGTGCCTCAGCAGACTGAAGGTTTAGTTTTGGGGCTTTTTTTTTTTTTTCAATCAAGTGAAATTTTCCATTGTCAAAACACAAATTATTTTTCTTTCCTGAAGAATTTTCTTGGAGTAGTTTACTGCTTTAAAAAGTTGTGCACTAAACCATTTTCACTCCCCAGGCAATGCCTCTGAGACCTTCCTTAAAATGGTGTTTATCACTGGAAGTACTCACTGGTATTGAGGTGAGGGAAGGAGCTGTTGAGCAAAATTCCCCAGCTCCAGCTTGTGGTTCATCCTTGGGTGTTGGCTGAAGGGAGATGGGAATAGCAAACCCAAATGCTGTTTTCCACCTCTGTTCATGGTGGCAGCACAGGGATTTCCTTCTGTGCTTGTTCACTGTGTGGGATTGGCTCCCTGCAAGCATTTATGGATACCTTTTTTTTATGCATCCTTTTTTTACTTGCAGGGAAGTGGCAGGAGTTACCTGCAGCCATGGAGCTTATGAAACTAAAAAAGATGGGAAGAGAAAGAAAGAAGACCATGGATAGGAATGGAGATGGACAAAAAAGGGAGAAAACTCAGGTAGGTGGAAATATTCTGTTGGGTTTTTTTTAATTATTACAATGTAGTGCTCAAAGATCCCCTCTGCTCACCCAGCTCCGGGGTGAATTCCTTTAGATCAGCTGCTGCTCTTGGGGAGCAGCTGCCTGGAATAAAGGAGCAGTACAGATGTGAGACTTTGTGTTTGTGTCCTGAGGTGCTGGATGGACTTTGGTTCCCCTCTGCCAAAAGCACAGGCACAGTGCAGGGAGGGGCAGGGCTAAGGAGGAGCAGTTCTGTGGGCCCCATTGCTACCAGGCTCAGCAGGAATTTAACAATGTATTTTCCAGCAAAGACCTTAAAGTGTCTTCTGATCCTCCAACTATAGTACCTTAAACTGCATTCCCAGTATTCCAGAGGTATTTCTAGCACGTTAACAATTGGTTTTGTCTACGTTTCGGCTCAATTTTCCAGACTTTATTGAGGCAGAAAACCCAATTAACCAAAATTGGAATTTTTTCCTTGGCAAAGACTTCAGGCTTCACCCCTAATCAGTAAAACCATAATCATCCAGAAAATTGGACTGTTTAGGTAGAGTCAGGTGCAGCTCCCTTTGATTTTTGCCCTCATGCTAGTGGAGTAGTTGGTTACTTTGCTATAAAAATCCTGCTGTGGAAGGGACAGGGTTCATGACAGCGAGCCTGCATCTAAAGAAGGGTCAGGACTATAAATAAATAGGGTGACAGTTTCTCAGGAAACCTTGAGAGCTGTGAGGAGGACGAGGGTGGAGAGCATTCTGTGAGGACTCTGTGTCACCTCAGCACCTGAAGTCTCTTCACCAGTTTGAAATTCCAGCCTCCTAAGGCACGACTGTTTTGATTAATGAAGGTGGGAACATGCCCACCCCCTGCCCGAGGAGCAGGTGGAAGAGCTGGCTGCTGGGACAGAACAAAAGCAGCATTTGTTCACGTGGACAAACATTCCAGAGGTGGGGAAAGGTGGGCTGTGGGTGTTGTCAGGCTGCTCTGACACAGGCACAACACTGGGGAAGCATCCTGGCCCTGCCTGTGGAACTGCTGGCTCATGGTGTCAAGATTAGAAGCCAAATTCCCCACAGGGGCCAAGAAGGAAGACAATTTAAAACTGTGGGGCTTTTGTGCAAGTGGGATAACAGGTTAAAACGTGGTAATAACCTGTTTTCCAGAGAAACACAAAGGATGCCTGCAGTTCTCAACAGCAGTGGTCAGGCACTCTGGGAAAACAAGGAGCTGAATGTCTGGGAATTGAGGACTAGGAATGGGTTTAACTCAGAGTTCCTTAGAGGGGAGCCCTCCCATGACATCACCCCTGTTTTCCCACACTGCTCAGAGGGATGATGGTGACAGGAACACCACACACAACACCACAGTTAGTTGTGGCCCTCATCTGTATTTTGTCCTTTTTTTTTCCCGGTAACACTCGTAAACCTCAATATTTTCTGTTCATAAAACCTCGGGAGGGTACTGGGAGGGAACTAAAAGCACGTTTGTCCTGTCCACAGCTGGGGGGGACTGAACCTGGAGTGGAGTGTTAGTCAGTTGTAAACTGTTGGAGATGTGCATTTTCCAGGGACTGAGGGCTCTGCATCATTCCAGCTCCGATAACGTGCACGGCCTTCGGAATTCCTGCCCCCGCTCGTGGAGCCATTTGTTGGATACTGCAAAGACACAAAGGGATGGGATCACTGCACGTGGGGAGCTCCTGCTGAAGGTAAGTGTGCTGTTGGTTAAGCACAGCATTACCTTAGTTTCTTAAAGTGTTTTAGTTGTGGAATCACAGGGTTTGGGTCGGAAGGGACATTAAAATCATCTCCTTCCAACCCCCTGCTATGCACAAATGTGAAGTTGGTCTAATAAATACAGGAAGGAAAAAACTTCCCTGCAAAACTACAGAAGACTCTTAAAAGAGATACAGTTGTACAGGTATTTTATACATATAATAAAATATGCTGCTATATAGAATATCTGTAATGTACAGAGATGAAGTAGATAAAGTAAATTAAATAGACTTCTTTATAAAGAACTGCATTTCTGGGTGCTTTTTATCCCACCATGAAGTCCAGAGGGAAAAGAGAAGCAAGGCAAGGCCCCCCCAGGCCCAGGCTGGGGTCCCAGGCAGGTACTCACCCCATTTATTCCCCACTAGTACCGGGCAGGCCGCGTGCCGGGTGCTGTAATCGCCTTCTCCGCTCGGGAACAGATTGTACCAGAACACAGCTGTTCCCTGGGAATGGCAGGGGACACCCTCAGCACTCTGCTCTGCACAACACACTTAAACACCAACTCACTTAAGGATAAAGCAAAGGTAAGTGCATTTGTATTTCAGGTCCTTTTCCACAGTCTAACATTTGCTTCCTTAGGAATGAGTCTCCTTTGACTTATTTTGTGTCCGTGTAATACTTGGCTCTTAATTAGTTTTGAAACCCCCGGACAGTGTCACTGAAGTTCTGACCAGTTTTAGAAAGCAAGATTATTTACTAAGAAGGAGCAGGAGGCCAGCCAAGGTAGACCTTATTTGAGACCCTGCTGAGGGAAAAACCTAACAGGAACATGACATTCCAAGGAGAATTCCCTACAGATGCCTCAAGACTAAAGCAACTTAAGAGATGTGAATGTTTTCAGGATGTGTTTCGAAGCACTGTAATGTTTTGCAGAGTCTGTGCATGAGAAGCAGCCAAGTTCCAAATTAACACAGGGAATGTGGGGGCCCTTGGAATCACCAGCACTGCTCTGAACCGTGAGCACCTCTGTGCTGCCATGAACAGGGCTGGGATTCTCCTTCTTTTAAAGGTTCGTTTAAAGCTTCTCTCATGCCTGTGCTGTACTTTGAGGAGGTGTAGAGGGCAGTTCCACCGGAGAAATCCCTGCTCACCTTTCTGGGCCAGACGCTGGCTCCGACTTCAGGAAAGACCGTGGCTCCCCCTGCTGACACGTCACTCATCTGCACAGGTGGGAAACACAGGTGAGCTCACACAGCCTGGGGCTCTCATGTTTCAGTAAAACAGAGTCGGGTTACTGAAGAAGTTAATTTACACCTCCCTGAAAGAGGCTGAAACCCTTCCAGTGGAACCCCAGCCTTGTCCCCTCCACTGCAGTTCACAGGCTGATAATACTGATGGAGATACAGAAATGAACAGCCAGGCAAGTAATTGGAGGGAGCAAAATCCTCCTTCCAGCACATGGAAGGACCACACGGTCTGGGGAGGAAGACAACAGGACCCCAGAGTTTGGGGCTGCTTGAGTGGGAAGTGACTGCAGCAAAAACCAGAATGAACAGAAAGGAGAATGAAATCCTTCAGTGGCACAGAATGGGGAGGGACTCGAGCTGTGACTTACATAAAACAACCAAGTAGCAATTCTGTTGCCTGTTCCCAATTCCTTAAAAGCATCTGGCTCATCTTTCTGTGAACAAAAGGAAGCAGAGTCCATCAGCACTTCCTCTGTGCTGCTGAGAGGAGCCAATGACAGGGAGTGGCTGAGACTTTGGGCTTGGGCAGAAGAAATGATCAACCCTTTGCTTTGGAATCAGGTAAATACAAGTGGAGAAGGGAAGGAAAGGAAAGGAAAAAGGAAAGAAAATGAAAGGAGAAAGGAAAGGAAAAAGGAAAGAAAATGAAAGGAGAAAGGAAAGGAAAAAGGAAAGGAGAAAGAAAAGGAAATTTCAGGAAAGGTAAGGAAATTTCAGGAAAGGAAAGGAAATTTCAGGGAAGGGAAGGAAAGGGAAAAGGAGCTGTCAGCAGGCAACTCTAAGCCAGAAGGGGATGGTGCCTGCAAGGAGCACCAAAGAGAGCACAGGGTCACCAACCACTGCTGAGCATCTCCATGGAATCAAAGGTTCTCACACAGCAATACTGCCACTGCTTGGGGCAGATCTGACAAAAGAAAAAAGGGAAAGAAAGAAAGAAAGAGGGAGGAAAAGAAGGAAGGAAAGAGAGAAAGAAAGAAGGGAGGAAAGAAGGAAAGAAAGAAAGAGAGAAAGAAGGGAGGAAAGAAGGAAAGAAAGAAAGAGAGAAAGAAGGGAGGAAAGAAGGAAAGAAAGAAAGAGAGAAAGAAAGAAGGGAGGAAAGAAAGAAAGAGAGAAAGAAAGAAGGGAGGAAAGAAAGAAAGAGAGAAAGAAGAAGGGAGGAAAGAAAGAAAGAAGGAAAGAAAGAAAGAAAGAAGGAAAGAAAGAAAGAGAGAAAGAAAGGAGGAAAGAAAGAGAGAAAGAAAGGAGGAAAGAAAGAAAGAGAGAAAGAAAGGAGGAAAGAGAGAAAGAAAGGAGGAAAGAAAGAGAGAAAGAAAGGAGGAAAGAAAGAAAGAGAGAAAGAAAGGAGGAAAGAAAGAAAGAGAGAAAGAAAGGAGGAAAGAAAGAGAGAAAGAAAGGAGGAAGGAAAGAAAGAAAGAAGGAAAAAAAGAAAGAAGGAAGGAAATAAAGAAAGAAGCCAAGAGAGAGGCAAAGGGCCCCGTTCCTAAAGCAGTAGGAATGCCCTGAGGAGTGGTAACCCTGCCGACTGGCACAGCTGGTGATGCCCAGGGCTCCCTGCCCTGCCAGGGACTGGGCAGAGCTACAGAGTGTGCCAGCCAGTGAAGAAGAGGCTGGGCCAGGCCAGAGGCCGAGGCTGCCCCGGGTCACTGCTCTCCTCCCGCTCTGTACTTGCCCGTGCAAAGTCAAAGTGGGGCTCATACTGTCCTCCCACTCCATAATTTGCCACCTGCAAAAGAGAAACAACAACAGCCCTTGTGAAGAAGAAGGAGGTGAAGACAGAACAGGACTTACCCTTCCAAAATCAAAGTGAGGCTCATACTGGCCCCCTACTCCGTAGTTGGCTACCTACAGTGAGAGGAGAAGCACAAGCTCTAGTAAAGCAGTTTTAGCCAGCAAGACTGTGACTGTCATCCACAGCTTCTCAACGGGTCAGTGGCAAACACCAAGCCCCAGGGAGTGACAAGCCTCTGTCACCTCCAGGAGCAGCAGCACATCCAAGACTGGCACTGCAAGATGCAGCTCCAGGTGAGAATCTGGTACTTCCCAGGGCAGAAAAGGATTTTTTCTCTGTGGCAGCTTTTCAGCCTCTGTTCTCTTCAGAACCTGTCACGGTGCTTTGACATGGTTCATGTATAAACTACTTCATGTCAATAAAGAGGATCCCCTCTCCTGCTTGCCAGGTGATTATAAAAAAAGAAACCTTGAACTTCAGCCAGATCCTGGGGCATTTTATCCCCAGGAGTCTTGACAGGGGCACAGCAGCTTCCAGCCCCCTGTCTGGGTGTCCTGCTTTCCAGGTACTCACACTTTGCTCACAGTCAGTAAAGCAGCTGCTCCTTCAAAGGCCTCAAGCAAATGTACCAAAGCACTTCTGAATTACCATTTTCACCTACAGCCAGTGTTTCCCACATGCCAGGGACACCAGACACACTGCTGGCCTTCCTTAAGTACCAGTCAAGCTGAACTCCCATCCCAGCAGCAAAGTTTCTGGACCCTGCAGCAGTGAAGCTCAGGTTTGGTTGTTCCCCTCCAGCACCAAAAGCCATTTCCCACTGAAGAGCTGCTCTACAAACACACCTTTGTTTCTTGCCCCTCTGTAAACAAAGGAGCTTTTGTGCCACCTGAGCCACCCAAAATGAAGTGCTGACTGAGGTCCAGCACCAGACCCATCCTCAGAATTACCTGCAGCTCCTCTGCTGTGGACACATCCAGCCCGGTGAGGTCCTGTATCCTCGTGTTGATCCGGGACACCACGGGGCTCTCGTACCCCGACAGCCACGCACTGGGGGGACAACCAGGGAGATGTGACAGTAACAGGCAGTGCACAGCAGGACAGCAAACACTGCCACTGACTTACACTTCCACATGACCTTCCTAGGACTTTTCAGGAAATCTCTCTGTATTGCAACAGCCCTGACTTCAGCAACCGCATTCTCGAGAAAGAACACTCGGAGCACTGCTCTAAGGGAGCTCTGACTGCCCAGTGACAGAAGGAAACATTCCAAAGAGGGAAAATCTGCTTCTAGCTGTTTTCTAAACCAGGCACAAACAGCTTTGCTCTTACAGTGAATTCAGCCCCCACAAGTGATGCATTTGGAAGCAACATTTGGCAAAGGAACAGGTGGGAGCTGCTCTCCTTGTCTGTGTGTCTGGGACTCGGCTCCTCCCCAGGGCACAGCACCGTGTGAGCTGCCCTGTCACACCACTCACCTGGGCAATCCCACTGCAAACCCTTCTGAAAACAGTGCAGTCATGCATTCAGTTCTCTCCCGTGTTCCCCACTGAACAATTTCTACCAGAACAACCTACTACAGATTTGCTATTTAGCACCTGCTTCAGGCAAATGATTCTCAAGGGGAAAAAAAACAACCCTCAAATCAATCCTTTTTTTTTTTTTAAATATAAAGGTCAGCCTCACAGTTCCAAAGGCATCTTTCAAAATGTTTGCCTCCTGCTATATATTAGAACTTCTTGGCTAAAAATACTGCATTTTTCTCTTTATCACCTGCTCACCTGATGTCTGGTTTTCTTGCTGCTTTACTCGTCCCATGCCACCTTCATTTTACCTGTCCTCTGTTTACCTTGCAGCCCTTGCTAGTCATTAATATGGATGATAATGATGATTTGAGGCTCATTTTCCCCCTTTTGTGCAGGAAAATGGAGACAGGTAGTTCTACCCCTTTTCCCAGCAGCTGACTCAGCTTTAGGGCTCATCAGTGGTTCCTGCTGGAGGGAAGTCCCTGTGCTCAGCTGGAAACTATCATCATCAGCAGCATCATAGTATTTTTATTCAAATGCACCTTCTCATCCATACTAAATTAAGTTTTTCTTCTTTAAATTTGCATTTAAAAACTATTATAATCCCCAAATCCCTCTCCTGGGAGGAACAGTAGCATGACACAGGACACAGGCACTGACACAGGTTACAGAATCTCTACGAGCATTTTTTTAAATGCCAAATGAACCACAGATAAAAAGAAAGAAGATTTCTCAAGGCAGACATGCACAAACACAGCCACAGACCCATCCATTTCTGAGCACTGTTAGTACAAGGAGGGGTTACAGCACAACCTGCCTGGATTTCAGGTGGTGGAAGGATATGTAGGTGCATATGAAGCCAAATTAACTCCCCCCAAAAAAGCAGCCATGCTCTGCAGCCACGGTGAACAGGGAATGCTCACAAGCAATCCTAACCTCACATTTAACACACACAGAAAAAGCCCCAACACACCCACCAGCTCCATCTGCTTCTGTCCAGTCTGGGCATAAGAGCTTATAGGGGAAAAAAGGGAAAAAAACAGGCCAAAGGAAGACAAACCCCA